ATGTGTATGTGCATGTATGTACATGCACATGTGCATAATGGTGTATATGTCTGGATAGAGAGAGATGTATCTATGTGGGAGACAGATGAATAGAGAGAGAAATAGGTAGATAGATATTGTGCTTTATTCCAAAAAGGTTTGAAGAGGCAGCTCGACTAGGGGCTCTCACATGCTCACATTGTTTTACCATAATCACCCTGTAACAAATACATACAGAGAGGATGGAAAAGGCTGAGGCCTGGGTCATTTTTTTTTTTAGCATAGCCCCAGGACTCTGACACCAGAGCTCCAAAAATCCATGCTTTGACCTAGAGCTGGGCACAGGTGAAGATGGGGGAAGAGGATGGGGCATGAGGGCAGTAATGGAGCCTGGGGGGAGCCGGTGCACAAGGGAAGCAATTAGGGAAGAGGAAGTGCAGAGACACGAGGGGAGGCCCAGGAAGAGCCAGACAGACGTGCAGGGCCGGCCAGGCCACAGTCCAAGTGGACGAGCCCAGTGCTGGGAGCGGATGGCGGGGACCCATTGGCAGCCCCACCCTCTGTGGAGGGGTTGTTATTACCTCTTCCCCGTCAAGACTGCTCCACCACCATTTTGGCTGTGGCTAGCACGGCCCGGTTCTTTCCTGGGTGGGGAACTCGGTTTTCACCTCCCCTAAACGACAAAAGCAGCGACAAGCACTTTGCAGGGCTCCAGGTCGGAGAAGCTGGTGAGCAGAAACCTGGGCCCCCAGAGCTGCTCTCCCCACTCCCACCGGGACTCTGAGCCAAAGGTGTCTGCTGTCTCAGTCCTGCCTCCTTTTCTGGATCTGCTTTTGGCTCAGTAGATCCTTTTACACCCCCTCCATTGAAATGATTCCTCAAGAAAACCCTGCAGTTACATTCCTCCATTAATGGGGTTGTTTTTCAGAGACTGAGTGCCAATGGAATGGAGGAGGACAAGACCTTACCACCCACCCCAAATTTGGGAGCAATTGTGGAACATGTGAGAATAAGAGGGAAAGGAAATTTATATTTACTATTCAATTTTTGAATCCTGAAGAACTAAGCTCTTATATATCTGCATAAGTTTCTAACTGGATTCTCTTGTCTGGAGACTTGGAGAAGTACTTAGAATATAAGTGAAGGGCAAGGACATAAGATGCCTCTCAAACATGCATTCCAAACTCAGTGAATCCATCTTGTTCACACCTTTATTTCCATACTAGAGGCCTTATGTATGAATTCGTGACTGCGTTGGGTCCCTCAGCCTGGCTGATGATTGGGCGATTGGGCCATCTTGCCCAGTTTTAGGGGAGGGACTTCAGAAGGTTGGCCATGGGGGGTTGGCTGTGGGAGCACACTGACCACCAGAGGTCAGCTCCTGCGTTGAGCATCTACCCCCTGGTGGTCAGTGCACATCATGGCAACCGGTTGTTCAGTTGTTCAGTCACTCTGTCACTTAGGCTTTTATATAGATAGGTATTTCTATCATTCTGGAAACTGCCAGGAAAGAAGATAGTGGATGCCTGCCTGCTAGGCAGTGCAATTCAATAAAAAGTCTATTTTGGACAAGGAGCTTGAAATTTGACCTTTAATTATGGGTGTTTGACACTGTAGTAGGAAGGGATTATTTTTAAAAAGTTTTTTATTCTACATATTCATATGGTTTGAAGGATCAAATGGTTCTACAAGATTTTCTGGAGGAAAAACCAGCATCTCCTTACTCCTTCCTTTGCTCTCTCTTTTCTTGGTGCCAACGGTGTACATATTATACGTTTAGAACCTGATATTTTACAGGTGAAGTTCTACCAGATATCACATATGACAGGTGGGAGTTAAGATCAATAATTTGTAGGAGGAGCCTGGGTTTAATTAAAGGCTTTGCCACTTACCAGTGGCATGACTTTGAGCAAATCTATTAGAGCCTTCATTTCCCCACCTGTAAGAAAGCATCTGTAGATACAGTAGAAAGCATATTTAACCCACAAAGTGATTAATTCAAGTAGACACGATGATGGGTAAAAGCCCTTAGTCCACTGTGTGCTTCCATTGTGGAGCAGAATGACAGGTGCACTGAGACTGAGTTATATCAATAATACACCGTGTCCTTTCTTATATATAACAGGTACTTAAATATATTTGGGGAATGAATGAACACTTTTCTTCTTGTAATGAGTAGTTTAGAAAACAACCATGAATATTGGGATTCATTAAATGTTACATGAACCTTAAAGCAGGCAAAACATCAAAATTAATCCTTAAGTTTTTAAGTTTCTCCTCCCCATTCTCTCATCTTCATTCCTTTTAACAGAAGACTGTATTTTAAACTTTTAATTATTCCATTTGCCTCAAAACATCACAGATGCAAGATGATCAAAGAAGCAAAGAGCAACTAGCCAGCTCTCTTCTGGAATTTAGCCTAACCTATTATTTCCTCTCTCTCAGTCCTTTCCCCATCAACCCCCTTTCCACACAGCAGGCAAAGTGATCTCAAAAAAACAACAACAAACAAACGCATATCCCAGTGAGTCACTCCACAGTGTAAATCCCTTACTGGCTTCCCATTTTTTCTTTGAATGAAAACAGAACTGGCTCAGCCCTCAAGGCTTCCCAAAGCTCCAACCTGGTCTTCAGCCTCCTCTTGTACCGCTGTCCTCTCTCTCACCTCGCAAACGACTTCATACACAGCCATCCGTCACTACATATTTGTTAGATAAATGGCTTGAATAATAAATATATTATAAACAATAAAAGATAGAATTTAAAAAATATAATTTCAAGAACTTTGCTTTTATTTTCAAACTAGAGGCCCAGTGCATGGATAGGGTTCCTAAGCCTGGCTAGCAATCAGGGCTGATCAGGGCCTTCCTTCCCCCAGCTGCCAGCTGTTGGCCAGGGCCTTCCTTTGTTCTGTGCTGCCCCCTGATGGTCAGCACACATCATAGTGAGCAGTCAAACTCCGGGCTGGTCAAACTCCCCTAAAGGGACAATTTGCATATTAGCCTTTTATTATTTAGGTTTTTCCTACCGGGTCAGGTGTGAACCCAAGGGCTTGATCAATGCTTACTTTGTCTTTGTCTTGGAGGCCAGAGAAATGCTTGGGAGAGAGGGAGAAACTCTAGATGGAAGTGGAGGGTAGGACATTATCTGCTTTTTAACTAATGGGCTGGGCCGTGTCAGGCAGAGCAGGCGGCTGCCTGAGGCTAATGTATCAATACTTTCAGTCAGACAGTGTGTGCCTGGGTCCTAACACAGTGGCTGGCACACAGAAGAGATGTGCAATAAACATTTGTTGAATTAATGAATAAAAGAGGCCTTCTTACTTTACCATACGCCTTCCAAGCTGCGAGTAACCCTTTGGGATTTCCTCCTTAATGCTGCCCTTAAAGATCGCTTTTGCCCGTGTTTAGCTGACTGTTTTGATAGAAGGAAAGTCAATTAGTTTGTCTTGGCTGAGACCAAGTCATGCTATTTTAAGAACGACTATCCAAGTCCAATTGAGAAAAGACCCATTCATTGCTGGGATTCATAAGTATTCCCGTGCACATTCACAAAGTCACTAGAGAGCTCCATTCTTACATCTAAAGTGGTTGCTGGAAAGGAGCTCGTGTGAGAAAGAACAAGGACTTGAGCTATATCTAAGTGGACGGGATTGTCGGTGTGCTCCTGAATGGCTTGCGCTGGGCTCACTCAGCTCCCAGGGCCAACAGGGCAGTAGCACTTGCACAAGCAGTGACTGGTGTGTGCCATTGGGCTGAAAGAAGGTGCCCAGCTTCATGTGGCCCCAGGAGCTCAGCAAAGGGTCGTCTGGTGGAGTTTATGACACTCTCTCACGGATAACATTGTGGGGAACTGGAGAACCCCTTTCTGGCAGCTAAAAGGTGTGGTAGTTCCTTGAAATGCCTCGGCTAGTGGGAATTTATGCAGCCTCGGGATGCCAGGTGACAGCCTGTATGGCAGCACAGAATGTTGGCAATGGCTTCTGGAAGCCTATCGTGAGCACAGGGCTGAGCTCATATGTGAGCTCCTCAAGAAAGCGTGTCATCAGTTAGCCATGTCGGGTATGAGCTTTGAAATGGGGGCTGGTGGCATGCCACATATTGACTCTTCTTTTTTGTTTTTTATTAAAATCTTATAATTAGATCTAAAAATCCATTTAATCTTCACATAAACTCTGTGAGGTAAATACTGTCCTAATCTTTCTTTTTTCAGATGAGGAAACTGGTACCTATTCCGTTTCCTAAAGCCAGTTAGTGGTGAAACTTGTCTTTGAACACATGCCCACCTAACTCTGGAGCCCAAGCTCTTAAGAACCATGTAATGTTCCCTGAGAATTCTGGAGTGCTGATAGTTAAAGCTGTGATCACCCATTCTTACCCTAGAGTCAATGAGTTTCTCTCCATTGTCCTACCTAAGATAGGAAAATATAAAAGACTAGTAAGGTTGGTATGGCTGAGGACAAACTTTAGCTACTTTATAACTCTTACACTGATTCTTAGTCTAAAAATTGAAAGCATTTCTTAGTATAACTTCTTAGTATATGACTACTCTAGTCAAGGAAATACGGATTATTTCTAGATCATTTTTAAAGCTGGAATGCAGTACTTATACCTTCAGATCTGATCCAAGTAGGAATACTATTATCAAAATTAGATTTTTCACTCCTTGAAACTTTTTATTCTAAAAGTATAGGTGTTAATCACTCTATCTTGGTGGGATTCTGAAAGCAGGGAATTATGTTTTGCTTTTCTTAAACCCTTAACACATGTTCTTTTAATGGGATGATCACTCTATTTGTGGAAATATATTTACTTATCACTTTGCCCCAAGTATTTATTTCTGTAATTAACTATTAAAACTATTTATAAGTATTCCATTTATAGCATCCATGTAAAACAGTTTAGATTTTACCCAAAGGCAGAAAAAATACAAATAAATAAACAAATCTTCAAATAATTTTAGTCAATATTAGAAACGTCAGGATATGGTTTTATTTCTTTCCTGTTCTTTTTAATTTACAGAAAAATCTGTCATTGCTCAACCAATATTTGTTTTTGAAAAGAGAGAGCAAGCTTTTAAGGTAAGATCAAGTGACTTATTTTGTTTAATTTTTAATTTAACAAAGAAAATTGTATTGAAAGAAGCTAGCTACACTAAGTGATAGCCCTGCTGAGTAAGTTTATTTTCTTATCCTTCACCTAGCAGAGCAGGGCCTCCGGAATATTTATATAGTAGGGATTTACTGGCAGCAATTGAGCTGAAATGGGAAGCCAGTGACCTTGTCTTGAATTTCCCCTAAATTACACTTTTTTTGGAGTGGCTTGGGTGGGAGGGACTGAAAGAGATTAGGACTAAGGCTCCTCCAATCCAGCCTAACACTAAGTATTAAGTAAGTTGTAAACTTCAATATTTGATTTAAAAGGGGACCTAAAGGACCCTATCTTTTTTTAACAGCATTATACTTGCTTCAAGAGACAAACAATAAGATTTCTAGTAGCATTCTCACTTTATCTTAGTTAGTATTTCCTTGTTATTCATTCTTGCTTATGCAGGTAATGTACATCACTGTTCCCAAAGTTAACTACCTAAAGAAATCTTAACCCCAAGCCATAGTTGAAAAACCAGATTCATGGGCCCCAGCCCGGGTCAGCCACTCAGAGTCCTGGGTGGGAGTTTCAGAAGCTCCCACAGGGCTCTGCAGTCACTGGAATGGGGCCCCGCTCTGCCTGATGTGGCTTGTTCTTGAATGCGTGACGGTGGGTAAGGTGAGCAGCTGTCCAGGGGCGAGCTTCGTGGGGTGGCAGCAAGCTTTGTGGAGCAGTCCTGGCCTCGCTGAAGAGTCCTGGCTGCAGAGGATCCTCTTAGAAAGCGACAGGGTAGAAGTCTGGTGTGAGAACTCTCACTGCAGCTTCATTTCCTTCCAGAGACCCGTGGGGGAGACCCTGCACGAAGCAACAGAACCTGGTAACGATTTAAATCTTGCATTTCAAAATCAACCTGTAGACAAAAAATGTAAGCAGGCACAAGCATTTTGGCATGTGGCACAGACTATGTAAAACTTGATGGTTTTTCTTGTGTTTCAACATGCAAGTGTTATGTGCTCACACAGAATAGGGTATACAGATGCCGTAGTATAAAATTGCACACTGGAAATTTATATAATTATTAATGGTTGCATCCCAATAAGTTTAATTTAAAAAGAATTCAATAGGAAAATGTAGTTCAAACAACTCTAAAATCCCATGATTCTCTATGGTCTTTGTTTCAATATACCAAAAACATTCTCAATACAATCTCAGAATTCATATACAATTTTTTGCTAAAACTACTTGAGTCTGATAATTTCACAACTGATGATACAACTATCAGTTCCAAATCCTCAAGCTATTAACCCCAATATTTAAAATTGTGCTTCAGAAGTTAGCGTGTTATCCAAGGATAATTTGTATAGACAAAAGGAAATTCTAATTGTCCCCCATATCATTTGGTTGAGGATAATTTGTTATTACAAGCAATTTTACCCTTCACATTGAATTTCTTGCAGAATGTAATGGCTTTTCAAGAAAGCGCATGCGGTCTTCATCCTTTTCTTTGGAAACTGCAGATTCGCAGTCCCAAGGAGGTAGGTATAGTGTAGACTGTGATTGTTTCTGCTATGTTTGCTTTGAGTGTAAAATTTCTACGAAACTTTTCAAGTGGATAATTTTTAAAAGTCTACCCACTGGATAGTGCTTATAATATATGGTTATATGAAAATAGCAGATTGTTTTCATAAAACCAACATTGAAAAAAGACTGAAAGGACATAAGCCACAATGTTAGGAATGGCTATTTCAGGTAATGGGTTTATGAGTGATTTGGTGTCTTTTGCTAAGTTTACAAAGTTTCTGCCTTACGTATATATTAGTCTTGTAGGGAAAACCATCCCAATATGATATAAAGATACAGGTGCTGTCACGTCTGAATGAACGAACGGTCACCAGGAAGTGCATGGACCATCTTTCAGTCCCCCCACACTCCCCAAGCAGCTCACCATGAAGAAGGAGGGGTGGCAGTGGGCAGGACTGGGGACTGCTGAGCGGTGGCGGCAATGCAGGCTGCTTCATGGGGCAGCAGCGAGCTTAGCAGAGCAGTCACCGGGTGGCAGCAAGTTTCACGAAGTGTCTAGGGGTGAGCTTCGTGGGGCGGCAGCAAGCTTTGTGGAGCAGTCATGGGACAGGGAGCCTCACGGAGCAGTTGTAGGGTGAAGGGAGTTCTATAAAGCAGTGGCGGGGTGGGGGGAGCCTTGCGGAGCAGTGGAGGGGCTGCGAGCATCACGGAGCATCCTGGGGCGGGGAACTTCATGTAGCATCACAGGGCAGCAGAGGCCAGCAGCGGAGGCCAGGCTAGGCCTAGGGACCCGAACTGTGCATGATTTCATGAGTGCTGGGCCTCTGGTTTTCTCATAAGTGACCACCTACTTAAATAAATAGATGTCCACCTTTTAAGAAGACATTTTGTTCTGAGAACGCCATCATATAGTACTGAATTCTGAATAACCAGTGCCTCTCTTTCACACTCAGAGCACCCCGGTTATTCCTTTTATTGCATTGCTCTCTGCCTTGTCATACAGCTCCTTATGCTATATCTGTCTCCTCCACTGTGAGTTCCGTGAGAGCATCTTCATGCCTGATAGAGTATCTTTACACATTGTGGGCGGATCACAAGAATTCTCCACTTCATATTACATGGTGTTTTACAAAGTATCATACTTTAAAAAGGTATTAGCTTGTAAGAGCATGTAATAAATAACTTCAAAATGCAAGTGTGTTTAATTTTAAAGTGTATCTTTAACATTTATGTAAAACATTTTTTATACTCGTTCAATAGAAACGTATCTGGCAACTGGGTAAGCTAGTAATAAGACTACGGTCTGCAGTGTGTTAAACATGGTGAGCACTCACAGAGCTTCTAGATCCTGGAGCCTGTCACTCTGACCTTCCCAAATCCATTCTCATTATGATGATCTTTCTTTCTCAGCTGCTATAAAATCCTGACATTGTAGTGGCAAACATAATAGAGGTCTTAACAAAGAATGAACAGAAGAATACCTTAAGAACTTTACAGATCCAGACAATACATCTGTTTATTTTTGGAAGAAAGTTTGAACTTGATGATTTTTTTTAGGATTTCATGTTTATGATAGCAATATACTAAGGCAGCCCTATAAAAGAACTTGCTTTATTTTACTTATTATTGTCCATGTACCTGGTTTATAATACATATAGTTGTATATATAAAATATACAACTGTACTTTAGATTCTTATTCTAAAGTTTATGCTTTAGATTTATATTTTAAAGTTTAGAATGTTAATCCTTTTGTACTTTTCATTAATTAAAACATTACTTCCTTTTTATTTGAAATTTATAATGCTTTGCTAAGCATTATAAAAACTTTTATTTTAATACAAACTTTTATTTTAATTAAAGTTTTGAAATGGTTGGGACATTTGATACATTAAAATTATGATTTATATTCTTGGATGTTTTTGTTTATGAACAACCAACTGCCTTTTCCAAGTTAAGCTTGCCACTAGAAATAAAAAAAAAAAAAAACCCCACAAAATATTCACTTTCTTTTTACTGATCTTCATGTACCTGGGAACCACTGCATATTCAAATTAGTGAATTTATATTTTTATTAAGAATTCCAAGCATGACTGAGCAACAGTATGTCAGATGCCTTTCAGATACAGAGGAGATGCTTCTAGCTCAATAGGCCCCTCTATGCCTCCCTGACACGTTACAGACATTAAGAGGAATGGCATCCTAATCCCAGTGGATTTGTTTACTGTGTTTGCGCATAAAGCAAAAGGATGGCTTTGAGTTATTGAGATAACGGCCTTAATTTTCCTTATTTTAATCAGGCCAAAAAGGTCAGATACACACACAAAAAAAGAATGAATAAAGAAACCTTCATATCAGTAAGCGCCATTCCTTTGTATGTAGCACAGAATATTGGTGGAATTACAACAGAGAAAAATTGCATAATTTTATATGGTCAATTCATTTTTGCTTTTCAGAATGAAGATAATAAATACCATTTCATTGAATTTTGAATTATAGAGGCAGTTCTGCCCCAAAATTTGTAGCAGGCAATCATACTTTGAAAAAGAAACTCTTATTCTTCTCTCATCTCCATTACTCAAATGCTCCAAGGCTTCTGTTTCTGCAACCAGGAGGTGATCACTTTGAAATGCATCGTAATTCTGTGCTTGTAGCCACCACCACAGTCCTAGCCCATGGGTGCACTTCCTAGGAAGATGATGCATCACCATGGTTTCACTTCTGTGTTTGGGTATCATTAGAGTAGGGAGAGGGACAGAATTTGCTAACCATTTTTAACATTCTATAAGGGTTCATTATCAATTTAGATTTTATAATCTGTAGAATTTGCCTCAGTATTCCCTTTTATGATTCTAAAGATGGCCTATTCTGTTAGTGTCCTAATTTTCACTTACATTGATGAGAGGAAACTCATCCTGCCATCAAGCATTTTGAGCAGCCAGTGCTCTCCTGTGCACTGCCTTCTACTCTATTAGTGCGGACACTGACATCTACTGGTGAGTTCCATGGGAGACTGTTAGAACCCAAATCATAAATGGACCCATCTCCTAGACTTAAATTTTTCCAAATATTTTTTTTCTTACAGTGAAGAAAAACAATGTTTTTATGACACCAATTCTTGTGCAAAGGAATGTTGGCATGAACAGTGCAGAACAAAGTATGTAGTTTCTCTATTATGAAAACCTCAGAAATTACATTTTGCCATCTATATTTTTGCATGTGTGTGTGTGTGTGTGTGTGTGTGTGTGTGTGTTGGGGGGATGGAGGTAAGGCTGAGTGACAAAACATGAAAGAAGGTATTTAATGAGCCCAGTCCCATGGCCAAAATAAATACTTATTGGGTAAAATCTTGGCTGGAATTACATAGTAAGCAATTCATTTGCTATTTTCACTTTGGATAGTTAATCATAATCATTAAATTAGTAAAAAAAAAAAAAAATGGAGAAAGAAGTATTTCACTTAAGATATATTGACTCTGTAATTCTGTTCCATCAAGGTCCTTTGAAACATTCTGAACATGTTTTAAGACCTGCTATTTTGCAGCCACCTCAAGCTCAAAGGCGCGAAAAAGTAAGACACAATGCATGGGAGCACTGCAAGACTAAAGAAAAAACAAAAAACAAAGTAAGAAAACTCTGCCATGGTAGGACTGACTCAGCCCTTCATCTGTCCGTTAGTAGGTTGCCGTGGGCCCCACACCAATCATGAGCATTAGGAGCCGTTAGGGGTCTGAGCTTTCTGTTGTTGCAGAATCAGCTGCACGGCTGGAGAAGAGCTGGGCTAGATAGCAGAGCCCTCAGTCACCATATTCCACATGCCCTCTTAAGTTGGAGAGCTGTTCCCAAGAACATGTTTTGTCATCTCCCCGAAGCATGACCCACACTGGGATTTATTTTTTAATATATTTTATTAAAGGCCTGATGCATGAAATTCGTGCAAGAGCAGGCCTTCCTTCCCTCGGCTGTCAGCACCAGCTTCCCTCTGGCACCCAGGACCTGGGCTTCCCTCGCAGCCCCGGCTTCGTCCAGAAGGCCATTTGGGAGGACATCTGGTCTAATTAGCATATCACACTTTTATTATTATAGATTGATTTCCAGAGGAAGGGAGAGATAGAAACATCAGTGATGAGAGATAATCATTGATCGGCTGCCTCTTGCATGCCCCTCACTGGGGACTGAGCCTGTAACCCGAGTATGTGCCCCAACTGGGACTCCAACCATGGTTCATAAGTCAAAGCTCAACTATTGAGCCATGCTGGCCAGGCCCACCTGCCTTTAAAGACATGAACTCCCTACCACATCTCTGGTAGGGGAAGGAAGGTGTCCACAAAACATTGGGGACACTAGATCTGATCTTTCTAGGGTTCCTTCCAGTTCTAAAATTGCCCACTCCTTCATTTATGCATCAACACATATGTACATGTGCATACTACCAATTGATTAAGTTACCGGTCCAATGTTCCCAGGTGAAGAGGTGGAGTTTCCTCCCACACTGATTGGATGGTGAAGCTCTTAGTTGCTTCCAGGGATTAAATAAACCTGAAAGCTAGATTTACTAACCAAGAGATGAGAATTAACGCCACGTGGCTAAAAAAGGGACAAAAGGAGTGGGATTTCTGAACTCTTAGGACCAAGGGCATAGTCTCTGATGTCAGACACATCTAGGCTCAGACATTAGCCCTTTCCTGGCCGGGTAATTTGAACTCGTTAGGTTAGTTCACACATCTGGGAAATGTGGACAATAAGTAATAGGTGTGCAAAGTGTATAGCGTTATTGTGAACAGAGGATGAGATAGAGTTCATACAATGCTCAGGGAAGTACTTGAATACAGTACATTTTTAATACATTTAACTGTAAGTCTTATTTCCTTGTCTGATGCTGCCATAGGAAGCAATTTAAATGAACTTTTTGGATTTCTTTTTGTTCAGATTTCTGAGAAGAACTCCTGTTTGCTAAATGAAAATTTGCCAAGTGCTGGAATTTCAACCCAGCTGTCTACCAACCAGACTCTTTTGGGGGCCGCATCAGTAGGGTGAGTGCTGTTCCTTCATTGCTGCTTTCTTTTATCGTTATTACCATTTACGGAAAATAATTTTTTTTCTGACATCATAGAGATAAATTGTCAATATTTCTGTTTGAAAGAAGATTTTATAAAGAACACAGTTTAAAATGCTTTTCAAAATGTCTCTGATATTGCAATATCATTAATATTGTATTATATCATATACATATATGTATATACATATATATATGTATATACATATATATGTGTATTATATATATATATATATGATGGAATATTTATATATAAATGGAATATTACTAGACCATAAAAAAAGAACAAAACCTTACCATTTGTGAAGCATGGTTGAATCTATAGAGTATTATACAAAATGAAATAAGCCAGTCAGAAAAAGACAAGTACCATATGATTTCACTTATGTGTGGAATCTAAAGAACAATATAAATGAATAAACAAAACAGAAACAGATTCATAGTTACAGAGAACAGACTGATGGCTGCCAGAGGGGAGGGGAGATGGGGGATGAGTGAAAAGGGGAAGGGTGAGAAGTACAGATTGGTAATTAAAATTTAGTCAAGGGGATGTAAAGTGCAGCATAGGGAATATAGCCAATAATTCTGTAATAACTATGTATGGTTTCAGGTGGGTACTGGAAATATCAGGAGGAGGAGTACTTTGTATGTTATTGTCTAATTACTATGCTCTACATCTGACACTAATACAAAATAATATTAAATGTAAACTATAATTGAAAAAAATTTTAACTTAAAAAATGTAAAAAAATAAGTCAAATGTTCTTGAAAGGAGGAAAAAGCAATAGTTATAGCAAAAAGAAGCTGTTAAACTCCCCCCCACACATAAATGAAATAGCAAATACTTATTTCTTTTTTTTTAGGTGTCAACCACATGAAGATAAGTATTCTTTTAAAAGCTGCAGTTCTGACTTCGTATTTGGAGAAAACATGGTAGAAAGAGTTTTGGTAAGATTTTGGTAAATGTTTCTCTTATCATGTAGAGAGCTATCACTTCAAATTTCTGAAGACAGATTAATTAAAACAATGTTACATTGGAGCAGCGTTTTTCAACCGCTGTTCCTCGGCACACTAGTGTGCCGCGAGATGTTGCCTGGTGTGCCATAGGTGCAGACAAGACAAGAATTTTATAATTTTTCACTATTTTGTTTACTTAATATTTCATAATAAAGTAATTATAAAATACTTTCTTTGTGTTTATTTGATTCCTATTCAAGAGAATTACTTTATATATAGTCAATATAGGCACAGAGTTAAATTTTTTAACATTTTCTAATGGTGGTGTGCCTCGTGATTTTTTTCATGAAACAAGTGTGCCTTTGCCCAAAAAAGGTTGAAAAACACTGCATTGGAGCATACTCTTTAACTCCTGGGTTCAAAGGCACGTTTTCTTTCTTTAACTGAGAAGAGTCTCCTGGGAAGCTAGTTTTCGATATTAGAATAATAGACAGGAACCCACAGAGGAAGAGAATTGTATAATTATAACATTATTACTGATGAATAATATTAAATAGTTTTTGACTCGTGTTAACCCAAATGTACCCAAGGAAATCCCAGAATTACTATAATAGTTATTAGGTGTACCATTATTAATAATGCGGATTTTTTTTCAATAGATGGAGTTACACATATGTTGATATATATACACGATTTGATGTGTATGCTATTTTGTGGTATTGACAGCAAGCTTCAAAACTTCATATGATAGGTTAAATTTGCTGAAGGTGTTAACATCATAGATATTTTTACACTTAAAAATGTCAAATTTTGTGCCAATAAAAGAGCATCTGTAGGACATTTTAATTCATTACTTTATTTTGAAGAAAAGTGCTGCTGAAAGTTATCATATACTCAGGGAAGCTTATGGTGAACATGCTCCATCTCAAGATACTTGTGAATGCTGGTTTAAATGCTTTAAAATTGGTGATTTCGAGGTAAATGAAAAACTTTGAAAACCAACAATTACAAGCATTATTGGATGAAGATGCATGTCAAACTCAAAAGCAACTTGCAAAAAGATTAAATGTTGCTCAGCAAACAATTTCCGATTACTTACAAGCAATGGGAAAGATTTTAAAGGAAGGAAAATGGGTGCCACAGCAACTGAACGAAAGACAAAGGGAAAACCGAAAAGTCATCAGTAAAATGTTGCTTCAAGGGCACAAAAGAAAGTCTTCTTTGCATCGAAATGTGACTGGCGATGAAAAGTGGATTTATTCTGAGAATCCCAAATGCACAAAATCATGGATTGATTCAGGTGAACCATCAACATCGACTGCAAGGCCAAATCGCTTTGGAAAGAAGACAATGCTCTGCGTTTGGTGGGATCAGGAAGGTGGAATCTGGAGCTTCTCTAAAACCAGGTGAAAACATACTAACACTGATCGCTACTGACAACAAATAATTAATTTGAACCACGCTTTGATCATGAAATGACCAGAATGTGCCGGAAGACAAGTAATTTTGCTTCATGATAATGCACCATCAAAACCAGTTAAAGACATGTTAAAAAAAATCTTGCCTGGGAAGTATTAATCCACCCACTGTATTCACCAGGCCTTCCTCCTTCAGATTACCACTTTCTGAGCAGCACTTCAACACATACAAAGAAGTGGAAAATTGGGTCTCTGAATGGTTTGCCTCAAAACAAGAAAAGTTCCATTGGGACAGTATCCACAAATTACCTAGAGATTGGGGAAATGTTTAGCTTACAATGGATATTACTTTGAATAAAGGACTTTTGATGTTTCTCTTGAAATTATCATGTTTTCTTTTATTATAGTATCTGCATTATTAACCGGTACACCTAGTAGATAGCTCAACTGGTAGACATCTTAATACCATTTTTCAATAGCATTATTTTTGGTAATAAGATGTATTTAAAATTGTTTGCCAATTTTTTTCTCATTAGCCTTAACCTTTCTCTTCAAGGTCTTACTTTGGAAAGTGTTACTGTAACTTATTTGGGTCTAGCTTTAAGAGGAAAATCACTTGCCTGGGGAAATATACTCGCCAAGTGGCGACCATGACCTGTCATTACTGCCCTCTTTACTCACTGTGGAGTGTCCTGCATGAGGCAGTTGCTGCTCTGCCCTCCTTAGGGGATGTCTCTGAGACAGTATCACCTGGGGAGGGGGATGTTATAGCAAAGTGAAGGCTCTGGACCAGGTGTGCCTGTGCTTTAACCTAGTCCGTCACACCTGCGTACTCTTCCCAGCTTTCACCCAGACAAAAATCTTGGCTAAAATGGGCCTCGGTGGCTAGCTTGCCTTATGGGCTGCTAGGTACAGGGAAGACCCAAGAAGGCTGGAGAGATTTAAAAACCCATGAAAGGGCCATATTAATAGAAGGACCAACTCATGAGGCCAGTTTATCCCGAGATTTTTAGGGCTTCCACAAATCAGTCACTTTTATGATCTCCTTTATTCCATACCTCAGGCTAAATCCCGACCCCAAGCACAGTTAGCATAGCTTTCTGGTTTAGAGGCGTTTTTTGGTCCCTCCCAGAATGAAGGTCAACACCCGCGTTCCCAGAGCTGGTGACCCCCACCTTTGTATCTGAACCAGAATGGACCAACTTCCACCGTGAAGTTCCAGGCAATATATTTTGGGATATTTACTCCATAACATTTAGTCCTACATTTGACACCAGATTAGCTTCTGTAAGATGTCACCAACAAAAATAAAGTATTTTATCAGCATTCGACTCAATGTAACAAAGGTATTGTGTTCTATGATATATAAAGCATTTGCGTTAGTCTCCAGTTTGCCTGCATATACAGACAGATACCTATACCAGTGGTCGGCAAATTCATTAGACAACAGAGCCAAATAGCAACAATACAACGATTGAAATTTCTTTTGAGAGCCAAATTTTTTAAACTTAAACTTCTTCTAACACTACTTCTTCAAAATAGACTCTCCCAGGTCGTAGTATTTTGTGGAAGAGCCACACTCAAGAGGCCAAAGAGCCGCCTGTGGCTCTTGAGCCGCAGTTTGCCGACCACTGACCTATACCAAGGACCTAGTCAGGATTGCAGATTTACTTTGAGAAGGCACTTTACCTTTGGTTTACAAAAGAATCTGTGCTTCCTATGTTACTGATAACATCCTACAAATAGGAGCAACAGAGAAAAACCTGTATTTGTCTTCTGGCTAATCCTGTAATCCCGCAGCCTAGTGATTTGGGGGTAATATACCCTTCTGACTGGTTAGCTGACCATGTGCTCTTAGAGTTAGTCATTAAACTTTCTGTGCCTTAAGTTTTCTTTTTTTTCTTTTTTATATATATATATTTTATTGATTTTTAACAGAGAGAAAGGGAGAGAGATAGCTAGAAACATTGATGAGAGAGAAACATTGCCCAGCTGCCTCCTGCACACCCCCAACTGGGGATGTGCCCGCAACCAAGGTACATGCCTTTGACCGGAATCGAACTCAGACCTTTCAGTCCACAGACCGACGCTCTACCACTGAGCCAAACCGGCTTCGGCTTACGTTTTCTTAAAATGAAATAATTATACCTGTCTCTAACAGTTTTAACAGAATATCTTGATGTTCAGTTAAATAATGTGAACAAATCTTTTCGAAGGGAAATGATATAAACCTGAGTATCATTCCAGTTTTCCCTGTTCTGCAGGGGGCTCTACACAGGATCATCAATGTAGGGAACTTTTCACACAGGCCTTGATTACAACACTGGTGCAAAGACCCATTGTTGGCAAAAGCTGATGGGAGGCAAATTGTTTCTATGAAGATGATCTCTGAGACAGCTCAGTAGGTCCTCTGGATAATTTTATCATTATTATTATTACTATTATTACTATTATTATTATTATTATTATTATTATTTTAATCCTCACCACAGGATATGTTCATTGATTTTAGGAAGGAATGTGGAGAGCAGGGAGGGGAAGCATATCAATGTGGGAGAGAAACATTGATTGTTTGCCTCCATACGTGCCCCTACAGGGGACTGAACCTGCAACCTAAGTATGTGCTCTGACCAGGAATTGAACAACTGAGCCACCCAGACAGGGCTATTATTATTATTATTATTATTATTATTATTATTATCATGTTTTAATGCTGTGGATAGAGACAGCGAATTGCTGGGCATACTGAAATGCCTTGAAATACGATATATAATAGTTGCATCTCCTTGCAGGTATCAGGTTAGTCTGGGGTAGCATGGAACAGCTGTTACCTTCTGTGGGGCCTCTAAAACTTCTCACATTGTCCCTGGAACCAGATCCCACCCAAGTGGGCTGGTGGTCCCTGGGCTACGCTTCCTGGGGACCAGGACCAAGGTCCTGCGAGGATAGGGAGGAACTTCTGTTCAGCCCACAGGGAGCCCAAACGAAAACACAGCAGTTGGTTTTGTTAAAACAGAGAACAAAGATATCTTTGGCTTCCTGCAAATATAAGAGGGTAAAATGAAGTCATGCATCTTTCCCCCGCTGCCTAGGGTATGCAGAAACTCACCCAGCCTCAACTTGAAAATGATTCCCAAGCCAAGGAAAAGCCATTCAAATACACTCTAAGATTTCCTATCAACTCTCCAAACTCAAGTAAGAATTCTTTCACTTGTAAAACATTTGGTTTGACTAGTTTATTTCGTGTTTTCCCATGTCATTTTTTTTTAACATCTATAAAGTACAAAAACAATAGCTCAGCATTTTCAAATTTGTTGGTAAAGAATAAAGCATATACATATAGTTACATGATATAGAAGCTTTTTAAAGTTTTTAACTTAATGACACGGCAAATTGTTAAAGAGATTTACTTAGCCTGAAGAACGTGAGTTTTTTGGAAACACTCGTTGTTATAAAAAAGTGGAAGAGATGCATTTAATAGGGACAACAAAGAATGTTCACACTAGAAAATATGGGGCCTTTTATGTGTTTTCCCTTTATTTTCATTAGGAACAGATGCTATTAAAAATATATCCCTGATTGAATCAGCTGCTGCGCTCTCTTCCAAATCATCCCCGAAATGCTTGCTGAAGAAAATTGATGTAATAACAGGGGAGGAAGCAGAATATAATGTGTTAAAGGTCTGTATATCATATATTGCTCTTTACAGATATAAAGTAGCCCTTACAGGTATAAAGTTATCATCAACAGGGACATGTTTTTTAAGAAGGCAGGAGTATACTTTTCAAAAACACTGAGCTGCTTAAATAAACATGTAGGACACTTCCAAAAATTAAACCACTATTTTGTTGGATTCTTACGTTTGTGCGTATAAGTTGCAGAAAAACGGGTTATTTACAACTATTCACATTAGGAAGCAGACAGCTCAGGACCCTTTCTTAATATGACTTCGACCTAAGTTGTACCCTGCTCAGCCTGCTTGTCCAATCGGTGCCATTATCATAGGACTTAACATTTTAACTTACACAGAAGGCTTTAAGGTGCTGATAAGATGTATTTATTTTAGTTCAAGAGAGTAAAAGAATTTTGTTTTCCTTTTGAAAGTTTGTAAGTTCTGAATTTCCTATAAATCAGAACTTTCACAGATGCTTCAGTATCACCATCGGGTTTGAATGTGGAGCCAGCGGTCCATGTATCAGCCTCGGCAAGTGAAGTGTAATTACTATGACTTGATCGTGTTTCAACAAGGCACGGTTTCCCTTGGTCTGTCTACATCTGCTCTTCCTCCTTTCCTCTTCTCCCCCTCAGACTGTTAATACATTTACTATACAAGTGTGTCCCAAAGCGTAACCTCAGATCAGCTTAACCCTAGACTGTGAAGTAATGGTGCCGGGTGAGACCTGGCCTGCTGTATTGTCAACAAGTCGCCCAGGTGACTCACAAGCACAGTGACTTTGAGAGCCACTGGTATTTTAATCACAGGAGGGCACTCTGGTATCACACCTTAATTCTCATGCTCTATTCTTTAAAATATTTAAAGCGTACAAATATTTCCATAAGTGCTTTACCTTCAAATAAATTACATAGCTCAAATAGCATTAAGTTTACTTTGAAAGTTGGTGTTTATATAGATATACAGGGTGGGGCAAAGTAGGTTTACAGTTCATATGGAGAATAATACAATAATTAATAAACAATAATATAAGAATAAACTCTATGTGTTTATTTTATGTATGTACTCACAACTCTATAAACCTACTTTTACCACATCATGTATTGTTAATGAAAAAGCAAGGTACAGAAAGGAGTATGCTATTCTACCATTAACAGAATAAAAAAGGGGAACATATAATGTATTGTCATATATATTTTTTTTCATATTTATATATGAAAGAATTAACAAAATATTAGCAATAGTGATTACTGATACAGGAGGTAGAAAGTACAAAGTAAACTAGGTTTGGGGAGGGACTTCTCACTTTGTACATCTTGCTTTTTAAAAAAATCTTTATTGTTGCTGAAACCTGTTTGGCTCAGTGGATAGAGCCAGCCTGGGAACTAAAAGGTCCCGGGTTCGATTCCGGTCAAGGGCATGTATCTTGGTTGTGGGCACATCCCCAGTGGGGGGGGTGTAGGAGGCAGCTGATTGATGATTCTCTCTCATCGATGTTTTTAACTATCCCTCTCTCTTTTTCTCTGTAAAAAATCAATAAAACATTTTTAAAAATAATAAAAAAATCTTTATTGTTGAAAGTATTATATAAGTCCTCCCTTTTCTCCCATATGCTTGATTTTTGATGTTTGAACTATTCAAAACTTGTATGTTTGTAAAGTTAAATATTTACGTTTAAATACTATTTTAAAACTGATGTGTAAATCATTAACAAAGGTTATTCTGGTAAAAGATCAAACAAATACAAGTATAGGGAGGGATTTGGAGAAACTTTCTATATGTTTGACATTTTAAAATATTGCCCTTCAGATCAACTGCAAGCTTTTCGTGTTCAACAAAACCACCCCGTCCTGGACTGAGAGGGGCCGGGGAGCTCTGAGACTCAATGATACAGCTGGCAGCGACCATGGGGCCTTCCAGTCAAGACTAAGTAAGGGATCCTCTGGGAAGGCAGATGCTATGTCTCAGGGTAAAATCTCCAATCCAGGTGCAGATCATTGTCTGGAGATGTGTCATAAAGTGCGTCAAGAAATCAGGCTGTTGAAAACAAGGTTGTTTCCAGTGTGCCATAGGAGCTTCCTGGTTAGGGTAGGCTCTTCTGCCAGAGGACACCGATTCCAGTTCTGGCTCCCCCACTGACTAACTGGTGTCCTTAGACAAGTTAGTTAACCACTCTGCCCAGTGATATCTTTTTAAAAGGGGGATAATTGCCCCGGCCAGGTAGCTCAGTTGGTAAGACTGGTGTCCCCATACATCAAGGTTGTAGGTTTGATCCTTGGTCAAGGCACACAGAAGAAGCAACCAATGAATGAATAAGTGAAACAACCAATTGATGTTTCTTGTTTTCTTGTTCTCTCTCTCTCCCTCTCTCTCCCTCTCTCTCCTTCTCTTTCCCCCTCTCTCCCTCTTTCTCTCTCTTTCTCTCTCTCAAAATCAATAAATGAAAATGTAATAGTCCATAACTTGATTGTGAGAATTCAGTGAGATAATGCATGTAAAGTACCCATGAAGGAGCCCACCACATACCTAAATAGCAATCCATTATTATTTAAAGGAATATGATACAAATTATTTAAAAAGTGAAAATAGTTTTCCTAAAAAAGAATATTTGCCCTAAAATTTACAATGCCATTCATAGCATGGTGTGTGGGTTGGGATGAAAAGTCAGTATCCAGGAAATAAAGGTGTGTGGTTATTGAATCCTGGAGACAGAGTGGTGGTTGGAATCTAGAATCAGTCACACTGAAAGACTCGGGAGGGTTTTGGCATCTGAGAGGCACACTAGCCCTCATTCAGAGGCCCAGACTTAAAGTGAGCCCACACGGAGATGTGTGTAGGGGGAACAGGTTTGGTTGTCTGATTGATACTAGCCAGTAAGAGCTGTGGAGGAGCCCACAGATTGAAGTCGGATCTAAGTGTATGCATGTTTGTTGAGTTTCAGATATCAAGCTCAACAAATGGGTAAGGAATAGAATTCAGACTGAGAGAAGAGAAACAGTGTCTTCAGTTCTGTAATTGGCAAGCAGGTTTCTAAGTATTATTCCCAAAGCAGGTGCTGGTTGTTTTTCTACTTTGGTTTTATTTCACTCCTTCCACCGCCTGCCAAAAGAACCACAAAACAACCTTTTTTTTAAAAAAGAACACAGGACATACAAGTTCATTATAGAAGACAGAAAATATGGGTCAACAGAAAGAAAGAAAATCACTAATAGGTCTGTCTTTCTGTGATAGCTTCTGTTTACAATGCATATTCTTCTAGACTTTGTTCCTATCTACATAAATGTATATATATATTGAAAAAGGTGTGTTTCATGGTGTTTATATTGCTTTGCAACTGGATTTTGCAACTGGATTTCTTCTTGTTTACATAGTATATATCATGATCACTTTTCTATGTCAATAAGTCTCTTTTCTTCAGTCTTTTTTAAAAAACATATATATATATTTCAGAGAGGAAGGAGAGGAAAGGAGATAGAAACATTGATGAGAGAGAATGATGATGAAAGAGAATGATTGAGAGAGAATCTTTGATTGGCTACCTCCTGCATGCTCCACTGAGAAGCATATTAATACTCCTGGGCAGGTGAATCAAACTGTGACCTCCTGCTTCACAGGTCCAAGCTCAATCACCGAGCCACACCAGCTGGGCCTCTTAAGTTCTATAATACCTTGAATAATTGTGCCATCATTTATTTAACTCATTCTATTTTTTAATTTCATTTCAGTTTTCTCTATTTTAAACAATTTTTGGGTAAATTCTTCAGAACACTAGGTCCTCAAAGGAGTTCTAAAATTTTAATCATTTTTAATATTATAGTAAAAATATATAATTCCAGCATTTTAACAAAAAAAATTCTTTAACATAATAAAGTTCAATTTGAAAACCAGGTAATAAATTTAATATGAAAATACAATCTGAAAAATTAGTATAAGATTTACTTTGCTTTCAATTTGGGGAATTCCCCTGGAAGGGTAAGAAGTCAGCTCTTCTGTGCTCTGATGTATTCACCTTCCTGTTTTAGTTATGCGCAATCAAGGGAGCCTGAGGCTGATTCTCAACAGCAAACTCTGGACTCAAATGGAGATTCAAAGAGCAAACCACCGAAATTTACGAATAACAGCTACTGATTTAGAAGACTATAGCATCAAAGTGTTTTTAATTCAGGTAAGTATTATAATAAAGTTTAGTGTTAGAGGATTACCCACCCTACTGTTTTTATAGATCTCTGCAATTACTCATTTGTGTTGTATGTGTTTTTCCATTTTATTTATTTATTTATTTACTTACTTACTTATTTTTAAACATATTTTATTGATTTTTTAACGGAGAGGAAGGGAGAAGGATAGAGGGATAGAGAGTTAGAAACATCAATGAAAGAGAAACATCCATCAGTTGCCTCCTGCACACTCCCTATGGGGGATGTGCCCGCAACCAAGGTACATGCTTGACCAGAAATGAATCTGGGATCCTTTAGTTCACAGGCTGATGCTCTATCCACTAAGCCAAACCAGTTAGGGCTTTTTCCCATTTTGTGTAACCTGTACCATTGGCAAAAAAATCAGCCGTTCACTTTGGTTGTTTACAGTCTAATATAAGACCTACATTTTACATGGAATTTAGAAATTAACACCTAAATCTAGAGTAATCAACTGGTAGCTGTCCCAAGATATTTTTATTGATATAAGCTATTGAACCTCTATATTTTTCTTTACCATTGAAATCATCTCAACAATCTTACTAAGTTACAAAGGGACTATTGTCAGGAGCTAGCAAAATCCACAGCCTATGCTCATAGTGAATGCTGAAATGCAGAAGGCTTTGAGATCACAGGAAAGGAATAGGGAGAAATGGAAAAACACAGGGCTAGCGAGTTAGCCATTCCAACAGCAAATTCCAGCTCTGGACATGAGTCAGTCTCCAAGGTAACAGGATGGAGCACAGCTTCAGCTCTCTTCCTGCAAAAGGAATGCTTGACCTTAACTAGAAGATTTCCAGGCACAAGAGAGAGAGAGAGCTGGCAGGAATCAGGCCAGAAAAAAGGCTGGGTCTCCCTCTGGGCTGGGACCCAGGGGAAAGCTGAGGACCAGGTGACTCAGGCAGAAGCAGCAGTACCAGTGGCTTGGCTTCCACAGACCAATGGAAGAAACGTTGGCAAGTGACCATTGGTAAAAAACCAAAGGTTTTATTAGTGAACAGTTAGTACAATGTCAGGTGTAAGTGATGTGGAGTACTAAGATGTAAGACGATGACCAGCCCTGTTCACATGGAAGGAGATGCCACTCTGCCAGGCCCGGTCACGGGCTTTGGATGCTCCAAGCAGCCGGCCTGAGACTGACAACTAGGATTGGATTCTGCTGCTCAGCACTGAGCTCATGCTGTCTTTTCAAATTGTAAGATATATTTTTTAGAGATAAGCAAACAAAATGCAAATAAAAATCCCTCCAAATTCCACTCCCAGAAATGGCCACTATTAATACTTTGATTGGTTTTATCCTGTATTTTAATATATAAACATATGTACACACATATATAATACACTAGAGGCCTGAAGCACAAAATTTGTTCAAGAGGCTCGGCCCTCGCAGCCCCTCACAGCCCTGGCTTCGTCCAGACGGTCGTTCCGCTGTTTGGTCTAATCAGCATATTAGCTCTTTATCATATAGGATATGTGCCATACTGTACATACTGTATGACCTTCAAGCAAGTTATCTAGCCTCCCTTAACCTGATTTTACTCACCTGATAAATGAAGATAATAATAATATACTTCATAAAATGGTTGAGAAGATTAGATAGCTAATATTTGATTGTAAAATATATACATATAACCTTCTTTTCACTTATCAATGAAAATGAGTGTTTTTGTGACATTAAATAGTTCATTCTTCAAAAATTATTTTAACAGGCGAAAAGAATTCTATTGTATTATGCATCCTAATTTATTCCATTAATTCCACTTTGTTAAATACTTAGGTAATTTATTGTTTCATTATTATAAACTAAAGGCCTGGTGCATTTCATGCACAGGTGGGGGTCCCTCAGCCTGCTCGGCAATTGGGCTAATTGGGGCCATCTCACCCAGTCCAGGGGGAGGGGCTATGGGAGGTTGGTTGGCCACAGGAGGTTGGCTGTGGTAGCACACTCATTACCAGGGTACCAGCTCTTACATTGAGCATCTGCCCCTTGGTGGTCAGTGTATTGTATGTCATAGCTACAAATCTTAACGGTTGCTTAAGCTTTTATATACATAGATTCTTTAAAAAAGAAAAAAAAAATATATATATATATATATTGATTTTTTATAGAGAGCATGGGAGAGGGATAGAGCTAGAAAGTGATTATTGATGAGAGAGAAACATCGACCAGCTGCCTCCTGCATACCTCCCACCGGGGATGTGCCCGCAACCAAAGTACATGCCCTTGACTGGAATCGAACCTTTCAGTCCGAAGGCCAACACTCTATCCACTGAGCCAAACCTGTTTTGGCTACATAGATTCTTTAAGGAGGCTGCAGGAAACTGTGTATATACATGTTAATTTTCTTGGGAACAAGTTTTGACTTGTCTTGACAAATTTCTCTCCAGAAAGACTGAACAGTTTTCATTCTCACCAGCATTTTTTATGGTACTTCCTCGGAGTTATAATTTTTTTAAACATTGCAAATTTGTTATTCAAAAATATATCATGTTGTTTTATTTTTAACTTTGGAATTTTTTAAATGAAAACATCTGAATGAATTTGTCCAAGGAAATAGATATATTGGCTAGTGAAAGTCATTACGAATTTAATGTAAGAATGTCAAGGAAGCAGAATAGCATTTATATTTCAATTACAAATACTCTCAATATTTGTTATTAATTAGCTTACTAAAGAAAATTACACCTTTGCACATGATCTAAACAATTAAAGTAGTCAAGTTAACAAATATTTATTTAACAACTACTCTATCAAATACAATATGAGAACCAACAATATTTTATTGCATTTATATTTAAATTTTTCCACCCAAAAGTATTTAAGGCAACTTAAATACATGCATATGAAAAAAAATACTTTAAAACCCTTCTCCCAAGAGTTGGCATATAGTTGGTTCAACCCTCATTTCTGAGTTTTAAAATGTTTGGTAACTCTCTGAAAGGTTAGTAAAGAGAAAAAAATGTCCCAGATTTTCTTTGAAATTGTGAAAAGATACAAACATATAAACTACTGTCATGTTACCTTAAAGAACACTGAGTTAGATGACAAAAACCTGGGATTCAAGTGCCAGACAGTTTGTCAACTAGCTGTGTTGACAAGTCATTGCACCTTTCTGAGCTGTCCTCTCCTCACCTGTCAAAGGGAGAGGGGAGTGAGAGTATGTTGAACACCTGGGCTAAATAACCACAGTTTTATTGTAAAAAATGGGTAACAACAGAATAACAATAACTGTTATACAAATGGTATTGTTACTTTCCTTTTGACATTTATTGCAACCATAAAAAGAGCACAGAAAAGTGCTGAAAACAAGTACTTCTGATGGGTTTTGGGAACAATACCATAGACTGCTCTAGTGAGCTCTGCTCCTCCACAGAGCTCTGCGGCTTGCAGGGGGTGTCCACACACAGTGATGTAAAGGAAATGAAGTCTCCCCTCCTGCCCCGGCCCCCGCCCCCCCAATTCTACAATTTCCTACAGGGTAAAATATTGGACGAAGGATGGTCTTCACAAAGTTAACTTCAAATAGAAATTTCCAGCCACAAAATTTCATCCACTCCATTTAAAATGCACAAACTGGGCCTCTTACAAAACTATCTGCCTTAGAATTCAGTTTGGTTCAAGATAAATGGACTTTTTGCCCATTAGTGTTTAGGGTTGTATACATTCTAGATTTATGCCATGTATTATAGTTCCTTCCTTGTTAACAGTGAAAGATTAAAAATCCTTAAAATGTGGCTGTTACTATTTCTGTTCTTAACCCCGGAATTTCCTCCCTACAGGCCAGTGCCAAAGACACAGAATCTCTGTTTGCAGCCATACATCACCGGCTTGTTGCTCTTCGAAGCTTCGAGAAGCAGAAAGATGTCAGTCAAGCTGAGAGCCAGGCAGAAGCAGCCCTCCCACAACTAAACTGCGACAGCTGTGATGAGGATGAGGATGGTTTTACTCAAGGCACTAAAAATAGATCAGGTAAAGGACTTTCCTTCTGGTAGGTCAGTGGTTTGAGAAAGGAACATCAAGCACCATCCTAATGTATGAACTGATTTTTAAAAAGTGGAACTTACTGATTCGTTTACAGTGGGTCAGGGTGAGAGCCCTTGCTGTTTGGACCAGGAGTGGGTTTGAAAATCTGTCTTCTAAATGGGCCTTCATTGGGATTTTACCCAAGCCAGCCTCATCATGATGCTGCCTATCATCCTATCTAATAAGAGAAATATGCAAATTGACACTACCTCTGCTACACCCACAAGCCATGTCCACCAGCCAATCAGGAGCGAGTATGCAGATTAAACAAACAAATAAGGCAGCAGCCACGGAGCTAGAGCAAGCAGGAGGGTTGGATTGCTCCCAGCGATGGAGGAAGCCAAGCTTCCCACCCATGCTGGCCAGTCCTGGTCTCTGCTCAAGGCTACAAAGTTTCAATTATAGAAGATGAATAAATCCCAGATACCGGTACCTGCTTCAAGCCAGCCCTGGCCTCCACTCAAGGAGGCACTGAAAAAAAAAAAAAGCAAGGGCTAGGATCTTGGGTCGCCGGGGGATGTGGCCAGCCTGCAAATAGCCAACAGCTCCTCATCCAGGCTGGACAGGCACCGCAGAGAGGACCCCCACCCTGAAAGGGGTGTGACCAGTCTGAAAACAGCCCTCAACCCCTCACCCAGGCTAGCCATACCCCCATGGCCCGATCCCTGTAAATGGGCAGTCGAACATCCCTCAAGGGGTTCCAGATCGGAGAGGGTACAGGCTGGGCTGAGGGACACTCTCCCCCTGCCCCCATGCACAAATTTCATGCACTGGGCCTCTAGTTGTATAATATAATATTTTAAATTTATGTCATAGATCCTTCTGGGTGGACCCACCGACAGTCAGTTGTCTGTTCATGAGTGCCACCTACCATAACATGATGACATCTACACAAAGATTGGTCATCAATGGAAAATCGAAGCCAGTGGTCAGTAAACTCATTAGTCAACAGAGCCAAATATTCACAGTACAATGATTGAAATTTCTTTTGAGAGCCAAATTTTTTAAACTTAAACTTCTTCTAATGTCACTTCTTAAAAATAGACTCACCTAGGCAGTGGTATTTTGTTGAAGAGCCACACTCAAGGGGCCAGAGAGCCGCATGTGGCTCTCGAGCCACAGTTTGCCAACCACTGTACTAAGCCATCCTAACTAAATGAGAAGATCCTATTCATCCCTTGAAGAGTTTTAATAGAGAAGTTCATGAAATATAATTCGTTGAAATTCAAGTTTTTCTCTTGTATAGTTTGATAATTCTGAGGTTTTACATTTTGATTATTGTGGAAAAAATGACAGAATTTAAGAAATACATGGACTTTAGAAGTTCACAATTTGTCATTTTTTAATAAGTTAACTTAGAATAGAATTTGATAACTAATTTGGACTATTCATCACATTGATGGATATAATAGTTAAAATGATAAATTGCTGGATTTTATAAATAGCTAAGTAAAATCTTTATTTTTTTCAGTCATGCATTGTGTGGCCATAAAACAAATATTTTATAATATTTCCAGTCATTTCTTTGAAAACCACTCTAACTGCATAAGATTTCATTAAAACATCTTTTTCTTCTGAGACACGTATATTTTCATTTAGCCTTTGGGTTTCCTAATACTGTAAGATTATGTACTCATGTATTCCTTTAAAGAGAGTATTTGTTCTTAGACGCGTATCCACTGTACCTTGTATATTCTTGACTGACAGTCAGCTTCCAATAGTTGTTGAAGAAATGTATTAAATACATTACCTATGTATCAAAACAGTAGGTTTACAAAAACAAATAATTTAACTTGTCCTTTGCTTTATTTATATAATAAATTGTCATTAATACTTGAGTAGGTGTGGCTAAATAGAGACCTTTTTAAAACGAATACTGTATATCACATATAGCCAATTGAAATTTTCTTAAAAACTCAACAGTAAAAACACACACACACACACAAAACAACAACAACAACAACAACAACAAAAACTCAACTGTAATTTCAACAATCATGCCAGCGAGTTTTGATGTCCCTCTTTCGATTTTTGTTTCAGAGACACTTAGCGCGTTACACAAGAAAATTAGGCTCAATACTTAGAGCTATATTTCCTTTTCCAATCCAGTTTGATCATTCCTTGGCTTAAAAATGACTTTTGATTGTGACCCCTAACAATTCCCTTGTTGGCGGCATCTTCGTCTGCTCTGTCTACCGTAACAAAACACCACGCATGGGTCGGCTTAACCAACGGAACTTGGTTATTTCTCACAGTTCTGGAGGCTGGCCCGGGGGTTCATTCTGAGGCTCTTCTCCGGGTTTGTGGGGGCCACCCTCTCAGTGTGCCCCAGTGGCCTCTTCTGTGGAGCATGGCGGAGAGAGAGGGAAAGTTCTGGGGTCTCTCTATAATCTCATCAGACCAGGCTACCCCCCCACTCCCATGCTCTCATCTAACCCTAATTACCTCCCCCAGCCCCATTTCCAAAAACATCATGTTGTGGGGTGGAAGGGGTAGAGCTTCAACATATACATTTTGTGAGAACATAAACATTCAGTGTATAACAAGGGAGTAAGAGTTACAATTCCAAAATGATTTCAGTACATGTGTTGATATTTGAAAACTATGAAATTTGAGGAGTTATTATTTTGCCTAATAAAGACTTGGTGTATAATAGTTTTCAAAAATTAGAAGTTTACCAGGATTTATTAATTTTTTGCCAATTTAGTGGACATAAAAAGCTATTTCATTATTATCTTAATTTGTATTTTTCTAATTTTTAATAAGGTTCAACATCTTTCAGATATCTATTCCCTGCTTGTGTTTCTTCCAAGAAATTCCTGTTCATAATCTTTGCAAAGCTAAGCATATAATTTTCTCCATTTTCTCAGCTTCCTAGCACGTATGGGGTGAAAGCTGAGTTCCTAAGCATGGATGTAATACTTCCGATGTCTTTTTCCATGTCTACCTCTCTCACCTCACCTTCCACTGTTCCTGTCTCCTTCTCTAGGGACTCAGAGTTGCTATTTCATTGCTCCGTACCTTTGTGGAATTCCTTTCTTACCCTTGCTCATTCTAGCGAATACTTTCCATTCTTTAAGAGTTGACTCAGGACATTTCCAGAAAGCTTTCCCTAACTCCTCTTAGGCTAAGTGAAGACCTTCCAGATTCTTATCCAATTCTGTGTATAAACTTTATGCTCCCCCTTTTTTTTGGGGGGGGGGGGGGAGGAAGAGTGAGATACCTTTTATTTACCATTTTATTTACTCTATTATAGTAGGATGCCTGGCCCATAGCAGGTGATCAAATATAATTTGATCTCCACTGACATGTGCTGTCTGTGTAAGTTTCAACAGAAAGTTAGAAAAAAGGATCTGAAGCTCATGAGGCAGTCTGCATTAATGATACTGGTAGTAGCTAAAGTCATATAAGGGGAATGGGGCTTAATATTTGCCAAGTGTATACTTTATAATGGGCACATGTTTAGGCATTTGCACTTATATTTACAACTTTACAAGGTAGCTAATATCCTATATAATAAAAACCTAATATGCTAAGTGTCTAGTTTTCCAGCCATCTGTTCAACCAATCAATGTATAATATGCTAATGACATGCTAAGGCCACTCAACTGCTCGCTATGATGTGCACTGACCACCAGAGGCAGACGCTCCAACTGGTAGGTTAGATTGTTGCTGGGGTCCAGCTGATAAGGACTGAGTGAGATGGGCCAGACATGCCCTGGAGCCCTCCCTCTGTCCCTCCCTGGCTGGTCAACCTCCGATGTCCCTCCCCAACCTGATCCTGGGCATGGCCTGCACTCTCTTGCAATCTGGGACCCCTCAGGGGATGTTGGAGAGCCAGTTTTGGCCAGATCCTGCAGGCCAGGCCGAGGGACCCCACTGATGCATGAATTCATGCACTGGGCCTCTAGTATTTGATAAATGAAAAAGTAGAATTAGAAAGGTTACAGAACTAGTCCCAGGTTGACAAAGCTAATAAATGGTGAATCTGGGGTTTGAACTAAGGTCTTTTCAAATCCAAAGTCCAAGCTCTTTTCATTACACAATACTGGATGAACTCATGCAGAAGAATGCAGAGAGAGAGAAGGGAAGGGATGGATAGATCTGAAGACAAGTTTAGGAAGAACCAAAAAAAGGGGACAGAGAGATGGGAGGAATACTGCTGTCTTCCATGGACACAGAGGATCAGAGGGGGGCCAGAGACCGGTTTGCTGGAAGCCAAAATAAAATTTCAAGAGTAAACGATAAGCATTTCAAATGCTGCATGAAGATTAAGTCATTTCAGGGCTGGAAAAAATATCAAGATATTATAGATATGAACATGCTTAAATAAAGAGGAAAATTCAGTCGAGTGAGAATTTGAGGGGTTAGGAGGGATGGGATCCAAAAATACCAGAGAACAAAAGACATCCTGAGAAGATGTCAATATGGGTAAGTTTGTATGTGGGAATGGGGAGACCCAAAAATTTGAGTTCTTATCTGTGAAATGTGAAGGAAAGAGGTCTGAAATTTCACATGTACAAGACCATAGCCTTGGATCCCAAACTGGTTCTCAGTCAAGTGGATCACTGACACACCACTATACATCTAAGCTTCACACCCATTATCTGACTTCTTCCTTTTCTTCTTTCCCAATACCTAATGAGTTACAGAATGTTAGAACAGCAACAATTAGAAAAGACCTTGAGGCTGTTAAGTTATACCAATCTACAGAAGTGGGAAGCTATGCTTAAGTTTCTTCTGTAGAACGCTATTAGCAGCTGCTGTAAGGCAAAGTTCCTGGCCAGAGGGATCAGCGACTACTAAAAGCAGACATCTACCAGACTCCATGGTGTATCTTCTAGTTTAATATTGTAGAGGGCCGTCTGGGAAGGCACATGGGCATTTTCCTTTAAGTTGTCAGCTGAGTCTGAGACAACTGGCAGAGCCCAGGCTCCCATACACATTTTCCCAGGATAGCGGAAAGTGTAATCAGCTTGGCCTTCCTATCTGGACAGGGGCAGGACTAGATATGTAAATCCAAACAAGCAACAGGAATGCTAGGGCCTACTCAAGAATGCAAATGAGCTCTTTTGATCCTAAGTTTTGGTGTTACTTCCTGGTATTGGGGGTATAAAATAATGCGCTGGGAGGGGTCTTCATTGTCTTCCTGCCTCTTCCCACTTAGCTCCCAGCTTTATAAATCTATTTCTGCCTCTGTCTTTTTCTTTCTTTAATTTCTTAATCCCCAGCTCCTCCACTCATCAACCTGTTTCCTTTTCTGTGATGGAGATGGACATGGAAAAGAGAGAAACACCCCCCACATAATAGACTACCTGCCACACAGTAGAGACCCAGTCAATATCCAGCAAACCCATGAATGAATGTTGGAGGTAGGTGCTAGGTGAAAAGTGAGAGTCACAGATTCAGAATCAAGTTGGGCTTGACAGAACCATGGTATCACTGCAGTCCAGCTCCCCCGTTTACAGGTGGGGAATCGGGAGCCAGGAAAGATGACAGGTGGGGAATCGGGAGCCAGGAAAGGTGATGTAACCTGCCCAAAGTCCAAACGCCAGTTACTGATAGCGCTAGGACTACAGAGGATCAGAGAGGAGGTCAGAGCAAGTGGACCTAAGGAGCAGGATGGGAAAACACTAGTGTGTGCGCTGCCATTTGAGTCTCCTCTTACAACAGGAGCATTTTCTTCCATTTCTCTTACTACTTTCCCAGCCCAGGTCCACCTGAAACTGTTGCCAACAGCACCCAAGTCTCCTTCCTCCTGCCCTCCGATGTGCTCAACATTGCAAAGCCAGATCGATAGTCATCAAACATTGCTTTCAGGACCCACTGGGCAGTTAAAAGCCTTCAAAGGCTAACCACTACCTATTCATAGAATAAAGTCCAAATTACTAACATTCTCAACCCTTTGGTCTTGTCCTACTTTTTCAACCTTATCTGGAAATGCTGCGTTTGGCCAGACTACTCCACCCAGGAACTAACCTTTTCAAAGGCTGCCCACCTCTGTCTTCCTTTGAGCTAAGTTTTTTGTTTGGTGGTCAGCAGGGACTGTGACAGAGCCCTAGCTTAGCTGGGCTCAACGCTTGGCTGACTGCTCTCTTTCAATTCTGAACCAATTCTAAAAAAGGGGTGTTGCATTTTCCTTTTGCACTAGGCCCTGCAAATTATGCAGCTGGTCCTGGGACGGTCTCATCAGGCCCTGGACCAGCCTTGTAAATATCAGCCATGCAACAAGTGTTGGTTGAATGAATAAAAAAAAGTCTAGTCCTATGAGCAATAAGGAACAGGTCTACATTTATGTGATTTAAAAAAATTAAATTGATTTTAGGGAGAGGGAGAGAAATATCCACGTGAGAAACATCCATAGGCTGCTTCCTGCAGGTACCCCGCTGGGGTTCGAGCCCGGAACCTGGATCTGTGCCCTGACCAGGTATCCAACCATACCTCTTGATGCATGGGACCAACCTCAACCCACTGAGCCACACCGGGCCAGGGCCGTGGCCTAGCCTTACATGCAATTATGAAAAGGGACAGAACCGCTGCAAGATGCCCACCACAAGCCTTCCCAGCAGCCCTTCAAACACCACCCTGCTGCCCAGGCGGGGTGGCCTACGACCGGTTCCAGCTGGATTCTTTAGGGCAGCTCCAACGCCCAAGGGAACCCCAGCCCTCCCCCGGCCGCAGCCAATCCCCGCAGCTCCTCGTGCGCAGCGCGTTCCGATTGGCTGAGAGAGTTGGCAGGGGCCCGATTGGCTGAGAAGAGTTGGCTGGGGCCTGATTGGCTGAGAAGAGTTGGCTGGGGCCTGATTGGCTGAGAGAGTTGGCCGGGCGGGAGAGCGCCCGCAGGAAAGGGGGCGGGGCGAGAAGCGGCCCGCGGGCGGCCAGGCGGCGTCTGCGCAGGCGCGGGCGGAGACGCCACCACAAACAAACAAAACCCGCCCCCCGGGCGCCGCGGCTCGGCCCGCCCCCTTCCCCGCGCGTGGGCGCCGCCCCTGCCAATCGCCGCTGCGCCCGCCCCGCCAACGTCCGGCGCGTCCCCCTCCCGCGGGCCCGCAGGCCGCACTTAACCTCTGGCCGCCGGCGCCCTGCACGGCCGGGGCGCAGCGGCCGGGCGGCGCGCGGGCGGACCGGCGGCGGACGATGACGTGCTACCGGGGCTTCCTGCTGGGCGGCTGCCGGCGCGTGGCGGGCGGCCGGGCGGCGCTGCGGGCTCCGGGCGCGGGCGGCCGGCGGCGCCTGGGGCAGGGGCCGGCGGGCGAGCTGGCGGGCTGCGGCCGGCGCCCCGACGGCGGCTTCCGGCCGTCCCGGGTGGTGGTGGTGGCCAAGACCACCCGCTACGAGTTCGAGCAGCAGCGGTACCGCTACGCGGAGCTCTCGGAGGAGGACCTCAAGCACCTGGTGGGTCCCGCCGGCCGGGCCCGCCCCCGCCCCCGCCCCCGCCCAGGCGCCCCGGACGCCGAGCCCGCTCCGCTCCGCTCGCGCCCCCCACTCGCTCTGGGTCGCTCGGAGGACCCCCCTGTCTCCGGTGGGAGGGGGTCCCTGTTCGTGCAGAGACCCCACGCGCGGGACGTCTCAGGGAGCCCGCGCTGGGGGCCGAGGGGCTCCCGCAGGGGCGGGTTTCAGGGCTTCATTTGCACGCGCCCACCGCACCCCTTCGTGGGAGCAGCAGCCCCGGGGGCCTGGCTGGCGCCTGAGGTCCGGCCGCTCTGCCCCCCCCCCCCCCGGCCTCCCCCGGGGGAGCGGGCCGGCCGCCGCCCCGGGGGGGGGGGGGAGGCGCCGCGGACACACCCCCTGGGCTCGGCGGGCGCCCCGGCGCTCAGGCCGGTCCGGGAGCCCGCGGCGGCCAGGCCGGGCTCCCGCGTTTGTCTCCAGAGCACACGTGCCCGCTGCGGGGAGCGCGGGAGGAGAGGGGCCGAGGCTGTACGGTAGTGAGCAGAAAGGTCAGGCCAGAGGGCAGCAGACCTGCCGTGCTGGACCCCCACCGCACAGCCGGGCCTCCAGAGGCTGTGTCTGGCGTGGGCATGCCTTGGTGTGTGCGGGGTGTATAACCCACCGAGGGACCCTGCGCACGTGCATCCTTTGGAACGCGTGGCCCCGGGCTCCCCTGCGCCCGTTTTAGGAAAAGGGCAGTGAGGATGCGTCCCTGAACAGTTTGCCTGCAGACATCTCCATTGCAACTGTCTTAACTGTTGACACTGCAGCGAAGGGCTTTGGGATGAATGGCCCGTCACCCTCATCTTGTAGGATTCTGTGCAGGAGGAGACGGCCCGTAATGAACCTTCAGCAGTTTTTTTGGTAATGTTTTGTGGAGGTGTCCAAGTGAAGTTGGAAGTTAAGCCTTCTAAGCAAAGGCTCAAGTGCTGAGTGCACGCTCAGCAGTCAGGATCCGGACTCTTGGATGAGCTCCTTGAAGAGGGGCTGCATTCCTCTGTCGGAGTGCGGGTGCAGATTGCGTTTTCTCTCCTCTCCATGAGGGGCTGAATGGAAAACAGTTGCCGTTAATAGAAAACAGTAGCAATCGGTAGAAACAGTTGCCTCCTTTAAAAGAGGTGATCAGCAAACCGGTGGAGCAGAAGGTTGGAGTTAAGTTGGTGTTAGGGTGTGAGGCAGGGAATACCATCAGAAGCAGGTGCTTCTGTTCTGGGAAAAGGGTATGTCCCTTGGGCGGTACTTCGAATTTCACCAGATCTACATCTTAGAAATGTGAAACGCCCTAAGAACACCCATAAGTACGTTCTCATGCAACTTGGTGGAAACCTCCCACAACAATTTAAAGTAGTACACGTGCCCTAGCCGGTTTGGCTCAGTGGATAGAGCTGCGGACTGAAGGATCCCAGGTTTGATTCCCGTTGTGGGCTTGATCCCCAGTAAGGGGGTGTGCAGGAGGCAGCTGATTGATGATTCTTTCTCATCATTGGTGTTTCTCCCTCTCCCTCTCTGAAATAAAGGAATATATTTAAAAAATAAAGTAAAATAGTACACTTGATTGGGATGTTCTGAGTGTGGGGTTGAGGGTTAGGAGTGGAGTAATCAGGCCTAGGTTTTGTGATTAACTTCCTTCTGATGAGTCTTTTTAACTTAGCCGGGACCCCTGGGTGGAAAGTACTTTCTGTGTAGTACTGGCAGTTTTCAAAGTGCTGGTACCTGAGTCAGCATGTGAAATAATAGGGTTGGACTAGATAGCCCCCAAGACCCTAGAAAGACCGGCATGTTGAGCGGCTGGTTAGCTTTTCCAAGGCCTCAAGAAAGGGGGTGGCATCCGAATTAGATTTATTATTGGACCTCTGACCTAGATTGCCACTTACCAGAACTTTTTAAATGTAGGCAAATCGGTAAAATCGAACTGCCTAGTGTCCCCACATGGTATCCGGAGAGAAATCTCTAATAGGTAAATATTTGTTTACCACTGGGTAATGCTGTTTGGAATAAGAAAACTTTGAAGTAGAACTTGTGGACTATTGAACACAGTTTTGAAATAGTTGTTTTTATTTCAGTGAAGTATTATTGGGCTAGTTTTCCCATTTCTACGAAGGCCATTATTCAGAATGGACTAGCATTAGGTGGGTCCCAGACCAGAGGTCAGGAGGAAGCCACAGAATACTAGACGGGGTGAAGTTGTTCTGAAATGGGATTCTGTATTAGGAATGGGAAAATGATTAACATGTTTTGCTATTTTGTTGGGGGTAAAAGGTACTAAGGTATAAGGTCATGTGAATTGGGAATAAAAGAAAGTAGCCAAGTGCTTAGTTGAGTCTTTGGGCACCATGGTAGGCTGTCTGTAGTGTCATGGTAACCGGGATTTGTATCAAAGGCTTCTCTCTTTAAGGTGGTGGTGATTTTGTTGCAAATAGATCTCAGTTAGGTTACTTAGGTTACCTGTAAAAATGCAAAGGGAAGATGAGGGTGGAACACCAGTACAGTTTTATATCCGGAAGCCTCGTGGTTTTCTGACTTTGTAGAGACATAAGCATCTAAAGGAAATACTGTTTAGTTAATAAAGCATGCACAAAATAGGTTTACATCCTTCAAATTTTATCAGTGGCTCTCTCATACTGGTTACATTGCTTAATTTTTAAGTCTTGCTTTTCCTTTCCCCCAACTGATCAATGACTTTTCCTGTGAGTTGAGGATTTCTAGTCAAGGATTTTCTCTCTACTGGCTCATGACCTTGCAAGGTTTAATGAAACTATTATTATAATTTACATCATGAGATGTAACTTAGCAAATGTGGAACTTTTAGTAACAGAGTCCCACAAATTAGACCTTTAGATGAATCAAAGCTGATTGGAAAGGATTTTGGCATCATAAACATATCTTACTGGTCAAAAAAGATGGTTTTATTGAAAAATACTTTGATCTATATCAAATAAGAAATGAGCAGTTTCCACTCTCCTCTCCCCCAACTTCGGGTGTTAACAATCCTAGATGCAACCCCCTTTAATGGTTCTCATTTAGAGTGTTAAAATATATTTTCAAAATGGGATAGATAATTGCATTTGGCAGCCCCTCTATTATAGGATTAAACTGTTCCTAGATATTGTCTTGTTAATAGGTTTGGGACATGTAGTGCCTTGGATTTTGTTTGCCTTACTCTGTTTTCTGAAAACAATGGTGTAGCATAGGTTTTGTTGTAATTAGATCTCATTGGGCACATAATACTTTTGCCACATGGTGTGCAGTGAGGATAGGTATGCAATATGTGTATTTGTCAAGTTAAGAATGTGATCTGGAATACTGCCAGAGCCTCTAACTGAAACCCCGCTCCTCTCAATCTCCCAGACTCAGGCACCACGTGATCTATCTGCCATGAACATCTGGCCTCTTCACTCTGCTTAGAACTCCAAAGCTCCCCACACCCTGGAGTCAGCTAGGGACTTTGCTAAAGTGAAGATGCCTGGACCTTAGTCTCCCAACCCCTCCGAGATTCTGACTTACTTTGTGGAGAGCTCCCAGACTCTGCCTCTCTGAACCTCACCCTGAAAGCTGCCGGCTCAGCATTTTAAAAACTCGCTCTCCGGGATCACACTTGGAGAAACTGCTGTAGATAAACCTTCGTGATCTTTAGTGTGCCCAGCAAGTCCCTTCAAGAAGTGACTCCTGTCTTATCTGTTGAACTTCATTTCTGATTAATCCTTGTCTTATGTGTGCTTCTAGAAATAATCTATACATGCAAATCAACACAGTGAGACATCTTTTTCTGTATCTCATCTCTGTGTTCAGTGACAACATGTTTAAGCCATTCTGCACCTGTTCTTTACATTGATTTTAGAGAGAGATAAGTGAGTGATAAACATTGATTGGCTGCCTCTCGTAGATGCTACCAACTAGGGATCAAACCTGCAATCTGGGTATGGGCCCTGACCTGGAATCGAACTCACAACCTTTTGGGTTGACACTCTAGCCAACTGAGCCACCCAGCTAAGGCTTTTAAAACTCTTAACTCAGTACTTTCAACAAAAGATTGGGAAGGTAGGTGTTAAAATATTATTAATACAAATCATCCTGGAGTAATACAATTATATTGAATTAAGATTTTTTTATATGCATCTTTCATATTATAACCTTTTAAAAAAGTTAAAAAACATTTTAAAAATTCTATCTAAAATTGGTTTTACTTTATAATCTGTAAGTAATGATTTAAAACAAAAATATATTTAAAATTGCATTTTAGACAGGTACTTAAAACTGATTTTGTACCAAAGAGGCAAGATATAAGGGAATTTGGAAAAGGAAAGAAAATAATAATAGTTTTTTGTTGTTGTTAATCCTGAGGATATTTTTCTCCATTGATTTTTTTAGAGAGAGTGGAAGGGAGGGGGAGAGATATAGAAATATCGATGTGAGAGAGAGACATCTATTGGCTGCCTCCCACAAGTGCCTCGACCTGGCCCAGGATGGAGCCTTGTAACCCAGATATGTGCCCTTGACTGGAATCGAACCTGCGACTCTTCCTTCAGTCCTCGGACCGACACTCCAATCGCTGAGTGAAACCGGCCTTGGCTAACCATGCTTTTAATTCTAGCATTTATTCTAGTAGATAAATTTCCTACTTGATTATATGGACTTTTATTGAGGATATTTCTAAACTTCTAACATTTTACTTTATGGATTATTTAGAAGACATGCTTTAAAAGGAGAGTATAAATGGTAAGATAGTAACATAATAGAATGTCACTCTGATGGACTGGGAGAGAGGGTTCTTGAAAGATACATGTCTTTATATCTAAAAGTTACCTGTTCTGAGAGCTAACCAGCCTTTGTTTGGATTAAGGTAAATACCAAATCAGAGTTCATAAATCTAAATACAAGAGAACTGCAAATCCCAATGGAGGAAAGTCACTGCCTGCTAAAATATTAGTTTATCCTCGATCTTCAGTTAGGCTAACTGAATAAAACACGCAAGCTGTGAAATCGACTAATGATGAGACCCTATTGACTAGATGATTCGGGAAACTTGATGATGTATTTGGTATTAAAACCAAATTGTCATTTTCCTGTAATCAGACTTCCTGGTTCAGTTTAGACTTGTTTCACAGGTAGTCATTAAAATGTGCCTTCACATAAAAACCACATTCTGTTTTCTGTAGGGCTTTTTAAAGAAATGTAATGTGTACTTTGTATCATGTAATGAGACAACACTTGTTTATTTTCATGTAGCTTGCGTTGAAAGGCTCTAGCTACAGTGGACTGCTTGAACGGCATCGTATTCATACCAAGAATGTGGAGCATATTCTAGACAGTTTACGGTAAGTCTGTGATTGGATTTTGGGCGGGCTTTTGTATTCAGGTATTGAAATTTTTCTCTGCCCAGCAGCTAATCATTAGATTTTAAAATAAAGATGGCTATTATAAAATCACTTTAGAAAATTATATTGTGGTTAATGGACCTGATACTATAGTATTTCTAAAGGAAATTTTTAATATACTCTGAAAATTTCCCAGATTTTCAGTTGTAATTTGGTCTGTCTGAGAAATGTCTTTTCTACAAAGGGTTAACTCTGTACACAGCAGTTTTCAACTGTAGGTGTAATGTTTTATTTCTTAAACAAAATACTGGGTTGGTTATATGGGTGTTCATTGTGATATTCTTTGAATGTCTAAAAATAATACTAGAAGCCTGTTAGTTTGGGGTAAATTTAGTCAGTGACTGCATTGATGTGTATACAGGAGAATCTGTAAGAACATGCAGATTAGAAAGTAGTCACTATTTCAGGGTTTTGCACTCAAATGAGTATTTGATTTAAAATAATGACGATTCAGTTTTATAAATTAAAAATGGTCTTTCCTTTGTCAGTAGCTATAAAAGATGTTTTTAAAGAGATTTGGGATTGTCATTAACTTTCAGTTTATTCATATGCTTCATGACTTATAGTTAATGGGCTGTTGCAATGAAAAGAAAATGAAGCTAACCTTACAAAGCTAAACATAAATTTGTTTATAAAACAAAATAGTTTATTTTACATCTTCATTGTAATGATCTGCCTCTCAGAAAGCATCCTTGTGATGCTGTTAGTGGAACTTTTAGGTAACCTTTACTTCTCTATCTCAGGAAGGAGGGCATTGAGGTTCGCCTGGTGAAGAGGAGAGAATACGATGAGGAAACTGTCCAGTGGGCGGATGCCGTCATAGCCGCAGGAGGTAATGCTTTACAAACGTGCTTCTCCGACCACAGATAAGGAGTTGGGTTTTTAGGGTCTGTCTTACAGAGCATGTCCCTTTTTTAGTGAATGATGATACTTTGAGGTTCCATGCATATATTTGTGTCTTCTCAAGGTGTGTATTTAACTTCAAGTAGGATTCAGAGGATTAGTTTTTACTGTATTTTGATTTAGTTATGCCGATCTTGGGTCTAACTAAAAATTAAAGTTGTTTAATAGTTTAATGAGTTTAGATAAATTCCATCCCTCTCTGGCCCCAATTTACATACACTCCCCCGCCCCCCAAGCTTTATTATTAAGTTAGTGAACATTTTTTTCTAAAGCTTTAAGTTGACCGCATTTGTTGGAGAGAAAATTCTGAAATCAGACACTTTGTTGGACATATTCTGATTAAAATAATTTGTGAGTTTGGATGATATTATGAGAGGAAGATAGAGGATCAGCCAATTGAAGTGATCCGGCTAGAGCAGGTTCGAGTGAGGGAGGGCATCTAGTGGGCGGAGGCCAGGGCTGCTGCTAACCATCTTCAATGCATAGGACAGCTCCCACGACAAAGAATCACCTGGGTGAAGACGGCAGTCCTGCCACTGCTGGGAAATCCTAAGCTGGAGTGGGAGAGAAGGCGAAGGGACCCTGGGTGGAGAGGAAATGACTGACAGTCAGCAGATGGGTTGGCGGCAGTGTGATTGTTAAAAGTACTGGAGTTCAGATGATGGTAGAAACCAGTTTTACAACAAGTCTGGTCTGTGCTGCCTTCAGGTGACGGCACAATGCTTCTGGCAGCAAGCAAAGTGCTGGACAGACTTAAACCGGTGATTGGCGTGAACACGGATCCAGAACGGTGAGGAAAAGCCTGTTTTTGTTTGGATTCTTTTTTAGTGTGATACCAAAAACATTTATGTTTTCTTTGCATAGTATCTGTGTATGATAAGTCTTAACTTTTGGAAGCTCCTCGTAGTTGTCTGTACTCTGGTCACATTGCTGGGTGTGCTGCTGCAAGGAGTGATGAGTTAACGTTCCATCTTCTGTCTTTTCTAACGTTCTTGCTGACATTCCTGCTTATGCTTCCACTGATTTTTCTGGTGACTTCATTGACTTAGTGAATAGACCAAATTCTATTTGCATTTTTTTTCCTTCTTTCCTCAGCTTTGTTGCCATTCACCCTCATTCTGTTCCAGCTGCCCACAGCCATGATTAGACCTGGGCTTTATAATCATCTAGAATTTTCCCATCTCTCAAGCCTGTCCTTTGACTTGTACTGAGTTGATCCTCTCTTATTTCCTTCACTTTATTCTCCCTTATTCATTTTCTTGACAAATTTCTTAATTATTTTGCATTGTTATCTTTCTACTTAATCCTAGGTCAGTTTTTATCACCTCTCTTCCTGTATCACCACAGTTGAGACCACACTTGGGCTAGGTGGCCCAAATTTACTTTCCATTTATAGTTTCTAACACTTAGAACTGGACTCTCCGTTGTTGAATAAACTTCCTATTTGGCCCAAGTCATCCCTCTTCCCCATTTCCCGTGGCAGCTCCTTCAAGAATGGCTCTTCAACCTCGTGTTCTCCCTGCTCTCCTTCAACATACCCTTCCCTTCTCTCACAAAGGAACTGGAAGTCACTGGATAAGAATTCAGCTTTTCTCATGCGTAAAAATACCTTATTCTGTTCCCTTTTTTCTTCTCTCCCTTCACACATGATTTCCTTTTAGGCTAAACACTTAAGACTCCCATCTTTCAAGAAATTTTAATAAATTCCTTACCCTGTGTCACACTCTTGGTTATTTTTTTTGGCTTTCCTCTATCTCAGAGCTGGGTACCTCCACTTTCTTACTTCACAGTTACTTTCTAAACCTCAATCTTCTCTGGATTCGCCCCAACCAGTCCATTGCTGTTGCCTTTGCCTCACAAAGTGGCGATACCTGGTTAGCGAACCCACTGGACGCTTGGCTCTTGTTTTACTTGATTTCCAGGAAATTTCTGTGCTAACCGCCCCCTTGTTACATCTGTACGTCTTTGGCAGTATGATACCCCCTTCTTTCTCCTCTATGGCTGCGTCTTCTCTCTATCTCCTGATGGATCTTATTGTTTGGTCACTGCTTATATACTGGTGTTTTCACATACCATCCTCGGGGCTATACTGCCTCTAGAATAACTGATTAATATCTGTGGTTTTAACTTAGATCCTGGTGACCTGAAAATCCTTATATCCAACGTTGACTGTTTCCATTCTTACTCTTATATTTCTTCTCTCCGCTGCAGCCAGAGTGATCATTTTATGAAAGTTTGATACTGTTTTGTGACTTCTCTGCTCAGAATCTTATGATGATTGCCATTAACCCAGAATAAAATCTAAATCTTTACTAAACTGGGTGACCAACTCACCCTGTTTTGTCAGGGCCTGTTTGTAAAGGCTGTTCTTAATGCACAAGTAACGTCTGAGCATCTGCTAACACCATGGGTGGGAGGCTCAGTGTGAGGCCTTTGCTAGTGAGGAGCTCTGTTGGCATTTGACCTGAAAGAATAAGTAGTTTCCCACAGGCTGTGTTCTTTTCATGCCATTGTGTGCTTTGCCTAGAGTGCCCTTATACTGCGTTCTCACTGGGGTAGTGCTTGTTCGTTCCGGACTGGTCCTCTCCTGGGCTCTGACTGTAAGTCCCTGCACAGGCAGCACTTCCCTCTCTATTATTTCTGCTGGATTCTTTCTTCCATTTGACTGATCTCCCTGAGTACAGGACTTTGTGCTTTACTTTCTCTATCACTATTTATAATATTTCTAGAGGCTCAGTGCACGAAATTCCTGCATGGATAGGGTCCTTAGGCCTGGCCTGCAATCAGGACCAATCTTCCCTGGTGCCCCCTGCCCCCCACTGCTGCCGGTTGCCCTCTGTGTGTTGGGCAACCAGTGGGGTGATGGGGCCCTGGTGTGGCCCATATCTGCCACCACCCACCCCGTTCCCCATCAGGTGATTGGAGCCTGCTGGCTGGGGAAGGGACCAAGAGGTTGGCCAACAGGCCCATCAGGTAATCAGGGCTTGTGGGCTGGGGGCAGCTCCTGCATTGGTAGTCTGCCCCCTGGTGGTCTGCACCAGAGCCCTGATCACCCCGCTGGTCACCCCAACCAGTCCTTCTGCTGTCTGGCGATTTGCAGGCTACTCTTTTATATATATATGGATATATAGATATGTAGTCAGTAGGCAATAAGCATTGAAAAGAATGATTGATTAAATGATCTCAGGGAGCAGGGCTAGGACTCCATCCTTGTTAATATTCACTGAGCATAAGGAATTGAGATAGTTGGTTCTGTGATTATTTTTTAACTTTATTGTATATGTATTTTAGAACTTTTAATGAACTGTTTTTGTATCTTTAAAGAGGTTCTAGATACTTTATACAGTTTATTATATTAAACTATATTTAAACAGATGACTTAATGCTCGTAATCTTACGGGGATTTTGAAACTAGAAGTAGATGGTGTTGCCTCTAATTTTACCTAGAATAATGGGTTTTAGAAGTCGAAGTCTTCGTTTCTCTCCTTGCCTTCAGCAGAAGTGGATTAGCCTGTGGGCTTGTTCGGTAATTCAGGTTGCCTGACTTCTTTTTTTTAAAGCACTGTGGTCCCTCACAACCTTAAGTAAGCGCCAGAAGTTATTGTTCAACTTAAGTTTTTTCTCTGTATTAGGTATCAAATGCTGCATAATAAATCACCCAAAACTTAGAGGCGTGAACAACAACAATCACTGATTACCTCTCTGGATTTCTGTGTGTCAGGAATTCGGGACAGCTCAGCTGGGCGGGTTTGGCTTGGGATCTGATGAAGTTACAGTCGGATGCACTTGGACTTAGGCCGGCTGAAGCCTTGCCTTAGGCTGTGGGATCCACTTCTAAGATGGCTCCTTACATGGGCTCATCTAAATGGAATACATAGTTTCTGTTTGTGTCTTCTGTGTCTGCACCCTTTCTATTGAGACTGATAAATATGACATTTTCCAGTGCTTAATAATTAGAATGTGAGAGCGGGCATGTGGCACCAGCCTCCAGGTTAGCAGCTTCCTAGTATCTACACCTTTCTGTGGTTCTCAGCCCCTCTGCATTCCATCAGGACTGGCGCTGGCCAGTAGAATGTGGTAAGCCTGTGTGTGCCACAGGCTCCAGGGCCAGGCTGTCCCTGGTATTGCAGCTCCTTGGATCGCTGGTTCTGGGGTAAGACAGCTCCACAGTGTGAGATACCTAAGCAGCCCATGAAGAGGCTCCCTGGAGAGGAACCAGGCCTCTTGCCAACAGCTGGCACCAGTTTGCCAGGCATGTGAGGGAGCCACACTGAAAGTGAATCCTTCAGGCTAAGTCAAGCTTTCCGATTCTGATATTGCTGCTGATAATCTGACCAACCTCGTGAGAGCTCTCCTCTCCTGAGGGTTTTAGACCCGCTGTTGACCCAGCAGGTATTTTCTATCAAATGACTGTTAATACCTGTTACATACTTAGCACCGTGTAAAGTACCACAGTGAACATAAAGCTTTTAACCTGAGGTGACCTCTCAGATAAAGAAATTGACTAGTCACAACTTCATGAAAACCTTGTTTTCTGCTCTTCACACATACACGTTAACTTACAGTATTCCCAAGCATTTGTTTTTGCCAAGCCTACTCTCAACCTTCCCTTCAAGATTGAAGCCATCTTTCCTTCGAGACTGATGATCATTGAGCTTCCTGGACACCTTTCATCATGGTAGTTGCTATATTCTCTCATCTCTCTGTAGCAGCCTATAGGCAACCTTAACACTTTGCAGTTTGCAATAAATTCTGTCTTCTGCATCATGCTGTTTACTCCTCAAAGGAGTTCATCCTGATACGGTTTTTGAGAAAAAGAAGCGGTACATTGGATTAAACTTTCTGAGTTTTAGTGACTTGGAATATCTTAAATGATGTTTAATTTAAAAGGGATTTATAGTTCAAAACACTTTAACATAAATACTTTGATTTCTCAGAATAACCTTTGGAGATTGTTGGGTTTATAGCTTAGAGATGAAGAAGCTGGTGACTTGCCCAAAGTTAATAGTTAGATAATTTCAGGGTCAGCTTCAGACACCACTGTACCATTAGACAATTTTGCAGGGTGGTCAGTCTGTGGCAAATTTGCTATTTTCAGTTTCACTATAATGTGGAAATTAAGTAGTATTGTGGCAGTAAAGCTGGATTTAAACTCTATGTCTATTCTTTGTTTTTGGTGAAAATAGACAATTTTGTGGCAAAACAAATTAAGGTATAGAGTTGAAATTAAAAAATTCGTATCTGATTTTTGAATTAAGTTTTTTTTTTCTTCCTTTTGCACCACCTCTAACCCCTTTTCAAATGAAGGTCTGAGGGTCATTTGTGTCTTCCTGTTCGCTACACACATTCCTTCCCAGAAGCCTTACAGAAGTTCTATCGTGGTGAGTTCAGGTAGGAATTTCTTTTTGTTGTTTTATAAATATCTTAATAAATGTGTATTGTTAAAATACTGTTAAACAGAATTAGGTAATATTTGGATTAGTCCACCATTATAACAGTAGCCATAAAATGTAATATATTAGCTGAGTCACAAACACATCTAACTTGTCTTATTCTAATCCAGTCAGAACTGTATAGAGAATCCCTGACAAATGCCACTTGGCCTATATTAGTATGTAATCGTTAATAGAGGTTTTTTCCCTTTAGTGAGATAGAAGCCATGTCTCTACTTTCCTAGCCTTGTTCCATTTATCTTAGAAAGATAGTAAAAACTGTTGGCTTAAAACTGAGTGTTCAAACTTGCTGAGATTTTATGTTTTTTGTCCTCATCTTCCCCCGTCCAGAATGGCTGAGAGTCCCTCCCTTGCTGAGATTCTTAGTATCCCTGTCTGACAGATTAAAGTGTTTCTTAAGCAATGGAGATGGTTTTTTCCCTCATATTTCTTTCACTGAATTTGTTCAGTGGTCAGACTCCCTTGATAAAGAATTTGACTTTAATTCAAGTTATTTGGGACATTTTGTACACATACATTAGGTATTTCCATTATGATCAAACAAAGAAGTAAACTTCTAAATCTCTTTTAGCAGGAACCTGTTAATTTTAAGTGTTTCTACTATAATTTGTTCCTGGAACAAGTGGGTTTTTTAAATGAATTTTTAATTTGGTGAAATTATAATGTCTAATTCTTAGTTTAATTTATTATGTCTAACATAATTTGCTTTCATTCACTCTTCCTAGGTGGTTGTGGAGGCAGCGTATCAGGTTATATCTTGAAGGGACTGGCATCAATCCCATTCCTGTGGACCTTCATGAACAGCAGCTAAGTTTGAGTCAACACAGTAGAGCCTTCAATATTGACAGAGTTCATGATGACAGTAAGTGGATTGGGGGTTAGGTGTGTTTGGGTCAATATTTAACTTACAGTTCTTTTGATGTCTAATTTCTAAAAGTAATACTTTCTTACTAACTTCAGTGCCACTGACAATACTTAAGGAAGTACAGGGGACTATTTCAAGTGTAAAACTTACTATGATTAGACACTGAAATAAGAAATACAGCATATTTCTAAGAGAAATGCTTTCTAGGCTGGGTTTGAAAATGTCCACAGAGGTAGATGATATTTAAGGAAAGAGTCTTGACCTTAATTTTTGAAAGATCAAAAAGGAAAAATAAAGCAGAAGAACTAAAATGAGCTAATCTGTGGAAGATTTCATAATAATTATCTACACTAATAAAAGAGAAACATGCAAATTGTCTGTACCTCTGCTACACTCACAAGCCATGCCCATCAGCCAATCAGGAGCAAGTATGCAAATTAACCCAATCAAGATGGCTGCAGCCACAGAGTGAGCAGGAAGCTTGGGTTTGGAGGAAGTTGATTCCTAAGGAGGAAGCCAAGCTTCCTGCAGCCCTGGCCTGCCCTCACCTCTGCTCAAGGCTACAAAGTTTCAATTATAGAAGATAAATAAATCCCAGATACCAGGGCCTCCACTTGGGTTACTGGGGTGTGTGCCTGGCCTGCAAACGACCACAGGCCCCTCGCCCAGGCCGCCACATGCCCCAAGGGAACCCCCACCCTGATCTGGGACACCCTGCAGGGCAAACCAGCTGGCCCCCATCCAGGCACCAGGCCTCTATACTACCTTAATAAAAGAGTAATATGCAAATTGACCTTCATTTCAACACAGAAGATGGCTGCCCCCATGTGGACACGAGATGGCCACCACAAGATAGCCCGCAAGGGAGGCCAGTTGGGGACAATCAAGCCTGTAGGGGAGGGCTGTTAGGGGCATCCAGGCCGGCAGAGGAGGGAAGTTGGGGGCGACTGGGACTGCAGGGAAGGGCAATTGGGGGAGACCCAGACTTGCAGGGGAGGGGCAGTATGGGGTGACCTATAGGGGAGGGCAGTTAGGCATCAATCTGACTGGCAGGGTAGTGGTTAGGGGGTTATCAGGCTGGCAGGCAGAAGCAGTTAGGGCCAATCAAGAAGGCAGGCAGGTGAGCAGTTGGGAGCCAGCAGTCTTGGATTATGAGAGGGATCCCAGATTGGAGAGGGTGTAGGCTGGGCTGAGGGACACGCGCGCGCCCACCCACCCACCCACCATGCACAAATTTCGTGCACTGGGCCTCTAGTATATTTATATACTTATATTTAAACATGTTTACTATAGTTATAGTTACTGATTAAAGCATTTATATTGGGAAATTTTGCATTCCAGCCTTCACATTTGTGTTTCAAATATTTGTGTAAGCTGCTAAGAGAATTTTAGCATAGGGTGATATGCAGCTTTTTTTTATATAATATAAGTAGTTAAGGTGAATTCTCATTTTTGAACCTATTTGTGGATTCTATTTTCCTACTTTTCTCCTAGCTCTAAGACTTTCATGGTGCAAGAAGATCCTAGGAGATGTCCTACTTAGATATTCTTTTCTCCTGTGTTTCACTTCTTGACTAAACTTACCAGGAAGAGCTACCTTAGACATCTGCTTTCTGTCTCTGTTTCTGTCCTGTTGTGGTACCTAATGTTCATCTAACCCCCACTCTACGAGTTCATGGTGATTATAGCTTTAGAGGTTAGCATGTTCCTAATGTGTATGTGTTCATGTCATGTTTTAAAGATGTTCTTTCTCTTCCCAAACAAAAAAAAATCATTTGATTTTAAAAATCTTTTACGTAATTACATGCATATAAATTCCCATTATTGATTTTGAAAGACTGCAGCGCCTGTTCAGTAAGATTGAAAAATCTTAGCTAGAAATTTTACTTTGTCCCACACCAGAAGTTATTGCTCCCACCAGAAGATGATCAGGTTCGGCTCTTTCACCCAGTCTTATATCATAGGAAAGAGGTAGATTGGTATTCAGAGGTTCACTGCTCAAACTCCTATCTCAGGTTCACTGATTTTAGCTCATAATCTTAAATTAATCTATTATATAAAGAAGCAAATCCTGTCTAATAAAGATGGAATATGCAAATTGATCATCACGCTGTCACAAAGATGGAGGCGCCCAGTCCTCTCAGCCCTGCCTTATTACCATTCTGTTGACTAATGAGTTTGTCAACCACTGTGCCAAACAATCCCAGAATTCCAGTGGCTTAACTTAATGAAGGTTTAATTCTAGCTCCTCTCACTGTCCAAGGAGTGTTCAAGCAACTTCCAACAGTGGTTCTTATCATCTCAGGCTTCTAAGCCTTCTATGGATCCTGGGTAGAAGAATTCGAGAGAAAAGTGAGGAGAGTCTTAAGGGAAGTTTCAGGAGCAGGCCTTTGTACTATTTTTGCTCATATTCCATAGGCTGTTGTTAGTCACACGTGTATATCCAGTGTGAGTTGGCCTGAAAACAGTCTACCAGGATGGCAGTGTGAGAGAATTGCACAGTGTAGCAGCCCTTGTCTCTATTATAGTATAAAAATTCTATATTTAAAAATACAAATTTTAATAAATTTTGTAACCCATTCTTTTGTATAGAAAAGTATTAGTTGGTATTGAGTCCATTTTTTTTTTTTAGTTAAATTTATTGGGGTGACATTGGTTACTAAGATTATGTAAGTTTCAAGTGTACATTTCTATAATACATAATCTGTATATTGCATCGTATGCCCATCACCTAAAATCAAATCACCTTCATCGCCATATATTTGATCCTAAAATAAGTCTTTCTGCTGTTAGGTTCAATTTGCATGTTTTCCTTTTATTATATAGGATACTTTTAATTACTTATTGTATATGTTAATACTGTTAAAGTATAGATTCTATTACAAGGAAATATGGATATTTTAATTTTATAAAATTTATGTCATAACATTGCTAAAATCTAAGAGCTATCTTGGATTTTTTTCTTCATTACCTGCAGGGCCCGAGGCCTCAGGACCCCAGCTTTTGCCGGTGAGAGCACTAAATGAAGTCTTCATTGGGGAGAGTCTGTCATCCAGGTACATCTAAACCTGTGAGCTTGAGTTTGGAATTTAACGTGTTAGTATTTTGTAGATATTTATTGAATTTCTATCACCTAAGATTTGTGAATAATTAATGTGTCTAAATAATAGAAATGAATTATTTGATGAAATATTTCTGAAACCTTTATACACGTTAATACTATTAAAGAGGAAAGAAGATTCTATGACCCAAAAAGTTTGTGAAACCCTAGGCCAAACTGAGTTTTCCAGGTTCTTTAGTGCAGAACCTTCCATCTGTCATTCAGGTGCACTACATTTATCTATGCATGCTGAAGAGGGCGGCGTACTTACTCGGCGTAATCGGCAGTTGGTGTACATCTTCTATAGAGAGCATAGTAAACTTACCTAATTGTCTCAGTGATGTTCGTGAAAGCTGATTTGTTTGTTTGCTTGTTTTATCCCGGATCCAATTAAGGATCACACCTTGCATGTGGCCACCGTGGCCCTTTCTGTTAATTAAGAACAGGGCCTTAGCCTCACTCCTGCTTGTCTTTCATGATATTAATCTTTTGAATGGTCTAAGCCAGATGGTTTGCACAATAGCCCTTATTTTAGATTTGTGTGGTTTGTTTTTTTTTCCTCTGCATGATTAGATTCAGACTAACCATTTTTGTCAGGAATACTGCGTAAGTGATAACTGCGTCCTTAGTTCAATTTGTAACAATTATTAGCAAAAAATTAAGATTGATGAAGTTCTTCATTAAGAGTTTTATTACAGATGAAATCTGTTTTGTAGATGTTAAATGTAACTTACACGTAAATTGTCAGTTGAATTATTTTTCCAAAACTTTGTGTTCATTACCAGTTACAAAATGACATTAGTGACTAGTTATAAATGACTGCTACAATATAAAGTTAATTTAGCTCTCGGTAGTACTTTAGAGTGCCTTCTCCTTTTTGTATGTGTAAGTTAGGGGTTGAAGGTTAGAGAGGGTCTCTGTCCCACTTTCCTGTCACTTTTTGCAAGCATTGTGGTGGATTCCCTAGTTTTACTGAGAGCCGTTCCAAGCACTCTGCAATGCTGTTTGTTGTAAGTCACGTTCTTTCATAAGTTTAATTATGATGAGAAAAATTTGTCCTAATTTGAAAAGCTACCCATGTTTTAGCCAATGATTTCCTTTGGGTAATACTGGAAAGAGACTGATTCAACAGGATGACTTGAACAATTGTTCTGAGTAGTTGTAATTATTTGGATTAATGTAACTTTAAGTTTATTCAACAAAAATATATTATGCATTGCTGTGTATATTATGAGAGCCACTAGGAATATAAAGATGAATAAGACAAAGGTTGTGGTATCTTAATATTTTGGAAGGCAGTGGTAAAATACATAACTTAAAAAATTATTAAAAGTAAAATTTCTTTAATAAAAATATATTCTTTAAAAACTTAACATTAAGTGTAAAATGTTTATTTTAACATAGTAAGACATGCTGTATATAAAGTGTTTTTTTTTTTGTATAACAAATCTGAAGTAATGTGAACATGAATAATGGGTACATTTACATAATAGGAGGGAGAAGGAAGAAAAATGTAACTGATTAGTGATATAATCTGGTATTGCTAAAGACATGAGAGACACAATTTTAAATAGATTGGAGAAAGGCTATTAAAATGAGTAAATGACAAAGGTAAAAATGTTTTTGTGAGTTTATGCTTTTACTCTAGGGAGACCATTTAATGGCTTATATTGTAGTTTGTTTATAATATTATTCCATTGTGGTCTGAACATTTTAAAAGTTGTATATTTTAAAGGTTGTAACTTCTGAGAGCTTCTGCTAGTGTTGCTTTATAATTTGTACTTACTAAAAATCAAATAACGTATAAAAGGAGGGGAGCTGGGATAAATTGATAGCTTTGGGCATTGGGTGAAGTCCCAGGAGGAGATTCTGGTTGAATGCTTCCATTCTCTGTGGCAGTAGTGGTTTGGTTGGTTTATCTCGAGATAACGTCTGACGCTGCTGCTTTTTGTGCTCTCTGATGCCTCACCTTACATCCTGACTAAGATAAGGACAGCAGGGTTGTCTAGATGCTGCTGAAAGAGGTTTCACCACTGAAGGCATTAGAGGTCACTCTGAAAGATGCTATGACACCCTCAGACAGAAAAGAAGTGACGGCCAATTAGCGCCTGCGATGTGTCGGCACTGTGCGTCCTGTGCCTGCTGTCACACGTAATGCTCTCAGCAATCCTGCAAGGAGAACATTGAGACAGATTCGGAGAGTTCAGTAGCTTGTCCGCATCAGAAGGATTCCAGGTCCTGGGCTAGGCTCACTGTGCCCTGAGAGCTTACGTGCCTTGCTTGAAAAATACAAAGTGCAGCAATATTATTCCTGCCTCATTTATAATGTTCTTAAGTTTAAGAACATTTTAAAAGCCCATTTTTTTTTTCTTTTCTCCTATTTGTTCTAACCTAGAATGTCATTTTCTTGGGCTGTAGCAGTGGACAGTTTAAGAAGAAGTTTACCCACTCTAAAGGGACTGTGAGTTTTATTGCTGCTTTAAAAAAATAATTCCCTGAAACAAAAATTCTATGAGTTGACTAATCTTGATAAACCTGTATGAAAGAATGACACTAAATTTGCTCCTTATCTCTCACCTGACTCACTTTTCTTCCCTCACACCTCCGCTTCTCTCCCCACTCACCTCTAATCTCGTTTCCTTGTGATTCTGGCATAGCAACCATTGCAGTGATTTGGCTGGCTTGTCTGTATATAAAAGGCTCCTAATGAGACTAAAATTAATATAATAAAGCAATGAAGTAGATTAAATGTGAATATTAAGTGTTCTTTTACTTTTATGAATATTAAGCTATCTTTTACTTTTATGAAGAGTGCTGAGTTCAGAGAAAAAATGAAAAGGAGTTATATCATATAAAACCTTCACAGATCCAAAGCTTGGTCAGAGAAATTAAAAGGGTTAGAGCAAGAGTTAGATTATCCCTTGAGTGTTAGTGTTTGCAAATATGTCTAATAATTCATTAATTTTGAAAAGCTATATTTTATTAAGGGCTTATTTTAACTTTTTATTTGCTAAAGAAAACTAACTCAGTGTTGATTAGTGACAATATTATTTTAAGAGATAGTTTACAAAATAGACTTTTACATGTTTCAAAAGTTCTTTGAATAGTTGTAAATCACTTACACTTTCATGCAGTTAAAGAATAGTATCATTTTGCTACTATCCAGAAAAACCATTTGATGAAATACTGTAAGAAGTGTCAATCTCTAGTTCTGCCCACTAGTTCAGTGCTGGTTGAGAATTTTCTTTAGAACTTAGCTTACCATCAACTCAAAAGGCACAATAGTGTGTAACTCAACAAAAATTTATCAGAAACTCTTGGTAACTTGAAGGGTTAGAAATAGACTTAAATATATCTAGGACTGGCTACCAAGAAAGAAACTCAGCAAAGAATGGTTTTCCTTTCTGAATTCTGAAAGAAGGCTCTGTGTAGGCCTGACTGCATGAAAGCAGCAGCGGCAGGTGAAAACTGGAAAAGAGGCCCTGATGGAACGTGGAAGTACGGATGGAAAGGAGCTCCTAGGGAGGGATGTAGACTTTTTTTTTTTTTTTTTAACTTTTTCACTTAATATTAGCACTACCATCATGACGTGTGTCTTCTAAGTCAGACTGCTCTACATAGATCTCATCAGCTCTGAAAGACAGTCTTATTGACTGTGAGCCTTCAGTTCAGCAAATCCAGTTTTGTATTCTTAATTCTTAGGGCTTCCTACTATGAGATTTCAATTGATGATGGCCCCTGGGAAAAACAGAAGAGTTCAGGGCTCAATCTGTGCACTGGAACAGGATCAAAGGCCTGGTGAGTAACGTGGGATTTTGTGAAATATTTTAAATGACATGGTGTGCTCGTCATCTCTGATCGGCATATCTGAGGCCTCCGCTACACAGGAGGCGGCCTGGCGGGCTGTGTTGACTCGGCTTCTGCTCCACTCGTAGTGAACTCCTGGGAATTCTAGAACTACTTGGGCCTAGAAGTTGTGCCTGACTTAGACCACAGTGCACCTCGCTCTGGTCATTGTATGGCCCATCACCCTAGATTTGTAAAGAGGAAAAAGAAGATGAGCAGTGTTTTCAAGTACTACATATTTTTTTTTTTTAAATGAAGACTATTTTAAATAATAGCAGAGAAATGAAAGCAAAGTCCATTACAAAAGCCATGTGTGGGAGGTGCATGCCTGGAAGGTCTGACAGAGCTAACCTGGGCTCCAACATCTAGGTTAGCCTGGAAACTCTTTCTGGAAGTTTCTGCTTTGCACATAGCATACATGCCATCCTCCCCGACTTCTCCCGGTAGCAGCCTTCTCTCCTGAGTACAGACTCCTGTTCTAAAATTACCTTGTGCGTAGAGAGAGGGGTAGTCGCTTTTCAAGTTCAGTGCGTTTAAAACGGAATTATTATCTTTGGTTTCTCTGCCTGTGTTCCTTGCATTGCATAAAAGTATCACTGTTTACCCTGAGTTAGTGCTCTAGAGAAAAACACATTTTTCCTCCAAACCTGCGTGCACCTTGAGTCTCCCACAAACCAGTCTCTGAATCCGGTCTGTAGCACTTCTGAGATCCTCCTACCTTCCCCTCCCCTTCAGTTTCTACTGCCATTTCTATGGCCTGGGCCCCGCTTCTTAGTGAGTAGTCTTTGCACCTGGCCCTTTATTCTTCAGGCTGTCATTCATCCTGCCAGCAGAGTGTCATTTCTAAAACTGTAGGTAGAATATGCCTGTACCCCTTCTGTGCTTTAACACTTTCATCAGCTCCTGACTGTGTTCAGATATGCGGTCTGTCGTATAAGGCCTGGAAGTATGACCGGAGGCTCCCTGCCAGCCTGCCACTACTCTACCTAACCCCCAGCACAGTGGGCAGTCTGCAGGCTACTTGGAATTCTCAGCACAAGCCAGGTTCTCTCTGGGCTTTTGTTTTTGCTCAATGCAACTTCTTTCTGCACTGAATACTTGAATGCTCTCCGTTTTCCATCCACTGGCTGAAAAATCCAGTCTTCAGATGTCATTCTCTCTGTAGGAAAACTATTAGGACCTAGATTTTTTTTTTTCCCATGAGTTCTCCTTTTTTTTTTAACCCCTTCTTTGTCCTCTAGCACTTTTTCTTTCAGCTCTTACCATGTTATTAGTTACCTAGTACAGCCAACCCGTGATCGGTGAGGTCCTAAAGGTTGGTGACCACTGATCTAGGAAGCTCAGACCCAGATAGTTTGAACAACTTGAAGCATTTAGGATGGGGGCTAGTGCCGGTTTTTCCCTGCTTAATTTTGTGTGCATATCATATTCATGCAGATGTTTTTTGAAGAAAGACTACATGCTCACAAATAGTGCTCTTAAACTATGATCTTAAGTTTGGGTCGTTTAAAATGGAGTTTTAGTTCCTGTTTTTCAGCATTACTTTTTAAAACCTTTTATTGTGAAAAAAATTAAATATATACAATAATAGGAAAAATAGTATAATGAATCCTCATGTCCAAACTTGTGCTTTCTCTGTTCCCCTATATATTCTTTCATCCTGTGAAGATTTTTTGTTGCTGTTTTTGTTAACCCTCACCCACGGGCATTTTTCCATTGATTTCTTTAGAGTGTGTAAGGGAAGGAGAGAGGCAGAGAGAAACATCAGTGTGAGAGAGAGACTTCGACTGGTTGTCTCCTGCTCGCACCTGACTGGGATAGGGATTAAGCCTGCAACCGAGGCATGTGCCCTTCACTGGAATCGAATCCAGGACCCTCAGTATGTGGGCCAATGCTTTATCCACTGAGCCAAACCATATAGGGTTATAAAGACATACTTGGAAGCAAATTTTCAGACATCATATCACTTGCATATCATAAGTAGTCAGTAACTTAAGTAGAAAGTAACATATATACTATATAATGCCCTCAGTTTTTTAACTTAACATATTGGTTATCTATACATATCAGCACATTTAGTTCTATTTTATTTTTTAATATCTACATAGTACTCCGCTGAATAGCCATAACTTATTTAACCAGCTTCCTATTGCTACATATATTTGAGTTTTGCTACATATAGTTGTTATTATGAACAATGCCTCTGTAAAATTTTTTTTTTAAATATATTTTGATTTTTTACAGAGAGGAAGGGAGAGGGATAGAGAGTTAGAAACATTGATCAGAGAGATACATCGACCAGCTGCCTCCTACACACTCCCCACTGGGGATGTGCCCACAACCAAGGTACATGCCCTTGACCGGAATCGAACCTGGGACCTTTCAGTCCGCAGACCAACGCCCTATCCATTGAGCCACACTGGTTTCCGCCTATTTAAATTTTAATAATGCAGAATTGCTCTTTGATGGCAACACCTATACTTCTTTTCCCATACCCATGCCAATACATGATCAGTTTTTAATTCTTGCACATCTGAGAAAAACCTTGTTTTAATCGTACATTTTAATTTGTATTACCTTAAGTATGAGTAAGAATGAGCATTTTTTTTCATATGAACTGTCCGTGTACGTGGCCCACTTTTTAAAACTGGGTGAAGCGGCTGTTGTCTTTGGTGGTTTCTCTGATAATTTCTAAAAGTTCGTTGTAGATTATTCCTTTTTCATTTTTAGTATGTTTTTAGAATTGAAACAAGAAAGAATTTATGTGGTGTTTGTTTCTAGGTCGTTCAATATTAACAGGGTTGCAACTCAGGCTGTGGAAGATGTTTTAAATATTGGTGAGTACCAAAATAGCTATTATATATTATAATTATAATGTACTATAGAATGGATGTTTTATGCTGTTAGCTATTACATGATACAAAACATTTAATTAATATATTTACCCTTTTTCCTTTTCCAAAAGCAAAACGACAAGGAAGTTTAAGTCTTCCATTGAACAGAGAACTGGTAGAAAAAGGTCAGTTACAAATGATCTTAATTATTAATTACTAAGCTTCATTTAAATTCTGTATTGACTGAAGGATATTATTGTGATGTGTACTTGCCTATTTAGCTAAGCACAGTACTTTTTTATCTCAAACATGCTTTAATATCCCTTTAAATATATTTAAACAAAATTTAAAACGATAAAAATCATAATATAAGTGTTACGATTTTTGTCAACCATAAAATATAACCTCTATGTCAGAAACAGCATAACTGCAGATATGTCAGGAACAGCTTAACTGCAGATATGTCTTGGGGAATAGGAAAATACAGAAAAACATAATGTATATAGATAAATAAGAAATGCACACCTAACTCGGGTGCCGTTCATGTCCTCTGAAGGAGGGGAATCCACTGAACTGTGAAAGCTTATCTTCCCACTCAGTGAAGTGTTCTGCCTGACCCTCACCTGCCTACTCCTGCCCAGCTACCTCAGGGTCTCTTTAAGAGGACTAGTCCTGTGGAGAGAAAGGACACTGGTCAGGGAATTGAGAGATCTGGGTTCCAATCCCAGGCCAACCAGCCCCGGCCTGAAACATGGGCAGGACAGTGATTCCTGCTCCTCCACTCCCTCTGCTGTGAAATGAGGAGGGCAGGCCGATCACTGTGCTTGTGGACTCTTCACCTTTGTTCTTTAAATTTCATTTTAAAAAACATTTAAATCTTAAATTCTGAAAAACAACATTCGTTTGATTTACATGAGAATTTTTAACACACTATAGTCCACTCATTTACCAGGATCAATGTTGTAGACCTCAAACTAAAACTTTTCTTACTGTGAGTTTAATTGAAGAGTATCCTTTGATATATAAGAGTATCCTTTTTGTTCCTTTAAAAACAACAAAAAGCCCAAACATATTTGTAATTACTTCTACCTTCTTTTGTAAAGATTTGTTAACATATAAACCCCAAGTAAAATACTGACACAAAATGAATATCAATGCATATAAGATTAAAACTGTCATCCATCCATAAACACAAACATTTGAATTGAGAGTTATTAGAGTAACTTCATTCTTGTTGGTTGCCTTTAAAATGATTTAGCAGTACATGGTAAAGTGTCTGCTCATATTTCTGTGTATCTACACAGGAGTTTCTACACAGGAGTTTCTTCATTGGGCAGATGATTTGCCTGTAAGTTAGTTTGAAAACAGGACTAAATCTCTGAATTCCCTTTCATTTCTCTAAATTGGACTCTATTTCTTCTTCTCAATTTGAAATCTAACAGATTATTTTAATCCTGGCATATGAGCTAGCATTAGCATTAAATCTATATAAAAGAAAGTAAAATTAGGCATTTATAGTAATTGAGTATTATGTAATTTAACTTAAAACATAATGTATATAGATGAACTGAAATTTACATCAGGTATGTAAATTAACTTAAGGTACATATAAAATAAAGTGGTTGGTCTTGCCTTAATAAACAAACTGCTTTGTGAATGAACATTGTTCCTTCGGAAGCAGCAGTGAGTGCCAGGCCATGCTCATTGACACTCTGCACCTATTTTCTTCAGAGTGTGTGCCCAGAGAGGGAATTTTTTTTAAATAGGTTTTTAAAAGAACCCAAATATTCAAATGAAATTTTGGAAAATACAGATTATCTGATGGTTTTGTGTCTTTTAATGTGCTACTGAACTGGTCCTTCTGCCAGCCTGATTTTGTTGTACAGTTGTCTTGAACCAGTTTGTGCGTTGCCTGCCAACTGTGATGGCAGGTCCCAGCGATTTTTAAAACAGTCTTGAATGAGGGCATTTTCAGAAGTGAAAGCACATTGCCAGTCATTTTTGAGATTGCGTTTTATATTAAGACTATTATTAACTTATACTTATGAATTCTTTGACATGATCTTTTGGAAAAGAATTGGCAGGGGTAATATGGCAACTCAAGTTCCATTTTTATGTGCCATAAACTAGTTCCTCTGTTTTTGTTTAATTACTAGCTTTGAATTCCCCTGAACCCAAAATGTACCTATTTCCTTTGTATTGTGAGTGATGTCCGGTTCTGTGGTCTAATCTTGGAACCTAATCCTCATTTAAGAGGTGGTGGTTGTTTCTTAATGGAACTTGTAGTGAGTCCCAAGGTACTTGACACCAAACAGGGACAACTGCTCCTAAGTTGGGGATAGCATCCATTTTTCATTTTGCACTTCTCAAGTGACCATCTGTTATTGAATGTGCTAATACTTGTTTCTTCTTTCCTCATAGTAACAAACGAATATAATGAATCGCTGCTCTATAGTCCGGAAGAACCAAAAATACTTTTCAGTATTCGAGAACCAATAGCAAACAGAGTTTTCTCAAGCACCCGCCAGCGCTGTTTCACCTCAAAGTAAGCAAGCTGCCCAAGTCTAAGTGTGAGGCTTTCCTCCCTGTGATTACTCTTATTTTGAAAGGCATTTCAGTGAAGCCTGGTGGGGGAACAGCTGAGCTGTGGATCGCATGAGCTGCCATGCCGATGTGGTTTAAATGACATTTTCTTTCTAACAGTGTGTTGTTTTAGCGACACGAAAATGTAATTGAATAGAAGGGGCATAGTTACTTACTTGGGTGATACAGATATTTTTTTCAAGTATTTAGACCACAAGATTATATTATCGTTTTAAAAGAAACTGACTGGAAAGCAACTTTTTTTCATGTGCTATGGAGTAAAAGCAGGACAGATGCTTACTAAAACCCACCCTGTGTATCAGTATACCGTTAGAGTAGGACTCATCTCTCCCCTCCCACTTTAAAAAGGATGGATTTTAAAGAAACCTCAGAGTTAAGGAAACTTATTTCATGAGATGTTGCTTTCTGCTTAGGGTCTGTGTCCGTTCTCGCTGTTGGGATGCCTGTATGGTTGTGGATGGAGGCACTTCTTTTGAGTTTAATGATGGAGCAATTGCTTCAATGATGATCAATAAAGAAGACGAGCTTCGAACTGTGCTTCTAGAACAGTGAAGGATTTCCTCAGACGGGACTTTGATTACCAGAAAAATACTTGCACTGCTGGAACAGACTGCCGGTCCGACAGCGACCTCTTTGGGTTATTGTGAGACTGGTTGGCCCTGTGCTCAAAGGTGACTAAGAAAGTGAGACTTATTTTCCTGTTGGTTCTGGTGGAGACGTTCACTGTGTAAGAGAGTAGATGGACTAAACTGTAGAGTTGATACCAGCGAAATTTCTATATTACCTAGGAGTGGTATTCAAGAGTACTTGGTATCGTTTAAATTTAGAGGTGGGTTCCAAATAAAGGAATAAGTGTTTCCTTCCCTTCCCTCCTTACTGTGTGGAATTGGTCAGAACAAACACCTGTCATTAGTATATCAAAAGTATATATTTTTTTATAGCACCTAAAAATCAAGATTTAAAGAAATTTTTGATGGAGAATTTTGATAAATCCTGACATTGACCTAATTAAAGCAAGTAAATGTGTTTTTCTATAAGCTAAGAATTTTCTAATTTCAGAATGCAATGATATTATGACTAGTAAGAAGTTCAAACATTTTTTTTAAATTATTTAGTTTTCATTTGCCTTTCAGGTTAATTTTGACAATGCAGGGTGAATTGAAGTACATGTAACTGGACAGAATCATGATGCTGTTATAAATTAATTATCCTATATTTCATATAGCTATTTTAGGTGATAGGCAATTTTTAAAAAATGACTTTAATAGATTTCTTCCATATTTAAAACTCTTTAACATGGATTCAAAGACTAAAAGGATGAACTGATTAAGCCATATTTTGCTAGGAGTTTTGTCAAACCTTTCAAAACTATTATTTACTTTTAATACCACCGTAGTTTCCACCTAGCTCATATTCCAAGTTTTCACATTAGCTTTGGAGGATGAAATGTTACGGCCTTTTGTCCCATGAGAATTTTTTCCCCCCTAATTCTTGACCTACTTATATGTATCCTGCCCTTTTCACAAAAAGCACCTATTGCTGCATCTTAAAATCATTGGTAGTCACATGCCATTTGTTCAATCATTGAAATATTTATTGGATACCCATCTGTGCCATGTACTGGTTCAACTGCCGGGTATTCACTGATGAATGGAATGGACTGTCCTGATAGAACGGATAATCAAATTGAGTACTCCTAGTTTTGCCAACATTTAACATTCTTGTCAAACTTTTAATATAAATGTTACTACACAAAAGTAACCTAGGCTTTGATATATATCCAGAACAAGAACCTGTTTTTCTTTTCCTAGTTAAGAGTATCTGTATACTCATTAGCAAACAGTTAACATGATGGGTTCAGTAAATATTAGTGTTTTTCCAGAGCTGGTCTAGTTTCTGGTTTGATTTACAAGTGATACCTTAAGATCTACTTTACAAAGTGAAATTCCACAGTATAGAAACACCCTGAATAAGTTTAAAATGTCTTCTTGACAGAAATGCCAACTCCGTCTTTAATATCAAGGTATTCTGTCCATGTGGCACCACAGATCCGTAACATTAATAGGTAACCTGCTGTGTAACACTGTTCGTGAGCCATATTCCAAAGGTTTAAAAATTGCTTAATGTGCTCCTAATATTTCTGCTCTGTGGTGGGGATTTATTTGTAAGAGGTGATGAGAGGCAAAGGATGTTAGAATAGCAAAAATGTTTTTTGAATTAACTTTTAATGGCAACAAGATGTGAATAAAAGTAAACTATTGTTATCTTTTTCTTTTATTTACTTCCTTAATTCTCTTGAAGTTATTTCAAAACCTGGCTTTCCCAAATGTGATGTTTCAGAAGTCTTTTCCCCACTGGTATGCATTACTCTTTGCCCTGTTGACTTCCTTCACTGCTAATCTCTGACACAGAACCATGATTTGTTATATAATCGAGGATAAGTGCTTACCCGTACCTGTAGAGACTCTTCAGATAATGTTGACTTAATATTGTTGATGCCCTATATGCGTTTGTATTTACGGCCCCAGTAAATGAGGTCATGGGAGAGCAGTGATAACAGAGGAGGTTGCTTTTTGGCTTGTTCAGGGTTGGGTATCCAGTAGAAAGGGGTTCCAGTTTCCCCAGCCCCAAAACTAGTACCTTTCCTTATATGGTCAGTTCCCTCCCCCATGCTGCTGTTCAAACATAATGTCCTCCTCACTGTGGATCTTCAGTAAACGCTGGATTGCAAGTGAATTCACCAGATAAAGTGACCACACTGCGTGTCTCTTATCAGAAATAAGAATTGTGCACGTGGCCAGAGAATCTCTCCTATCTGCCACTGTGGCTAGGGGGAGAGGGAGGGACTCAGGGCCAGAGGTGGATGTTAACGTGAAAATGCTATCGCTGACTTTTTTGGATAGTACTTCACTATCCCATCAATCACCTACATTTTAGACGTTTATAAAGGCTATTACTTTTTAAAGTACTTAAAACAATTTTAGCTACAGTGCTTAGAGGAGGAAAAAAGGACCACAATTTAGCAGAAGTACTCGTTTTTATAAAAATGTGTTTTATTTTAAAACAAGTTTATAAAAGTAGAAATCACATACAAAAATACAGATCACTGTGACGTGTTAGGAAAATAGCTTTTGGCTGAACTTGAGTTTGGAAGTACTGCTATGTGTGTGAGGGCACCCGGGAGCCAGGATCCAGCCGGATCTTGTCCCCAGCCCTTGTCGCTAACCTGTAAACAATAATCTCAAGTAGTATTTAGCACTTTTGAGCTACTACAAGATTGAAACATAATCATTTCCGGTATAACTACTTTAAAATGTTCTTCCTTAGGTCTGGACAGATAAGGGCACTTCATACCATCGTTTCTAACATTTGAAAATTGTTTTAAAAACCAATAACAATGGAAGTGTTTGGCTTTTGTGTTGAACACGGGGAGGTCATCAGCTTAAATAAGAAATTAGTCTGTTTCCTAAGGTAGGTAGAATCCATTTGCATGGGTGTACCATTAAAAAAAATCACTGAAGCCATCGAAGGCTCCGCACCTGAGTGAGCTCCGCTGCAGGCGCAGCTGTGCTTTCTGCTCTGAATCCAGGGTGTGCCCCTGCGTCCGGTGTGTATTATTGATTGAGGAACACGCGGTTCTTAGGGAACGTGGGGTCCAGTAACTTGTAAAACGGGCAGGTAGATTAAAACAACGATTGTGGAAGACAAACAAAATAAAATCCAAAGACGTGATTCTAGAGTAATATAAAAATACCTTCAAGAACCTCAGCAATACAGGCAAGCGCAGGCCACGTCAGTTAGCACCCCATCCCACATTGCGAGAAGAGACGTTTACTAGCACCTTCCTAAGACAAGGCGAGGCATTTTCAAAGCTAAAGAACCCACTTCACATCACTTGCTCAGAAAGTTAAAGTTAGAAGACCACAGCACCTCCTCAGCTACCGCAGCACCGGGGAGTACAGTACTTAGTGGATGCCTCACCAGCGGGCATTGGCCCGGGCTTCCGATGGCCTGTCCCAGAAAACCCCTCCGGAGCCCCCGTTCTCTGCCTGTGGTTCTTTTAAATGTAGGCGTGAGGGGGATTACCCAGGACCGCTTGTGTTCATGAGCCTAACTGCCCATGCAAAGACAGAGTTGAAATGTGCATTTTCCTTTTTCTGTCCCCGAATGACTGCCTCAAACCGACTATCCTACACTATGAATAGCTTATCATTTTCCCACACTATGTCGTATAAAGCAATACTGAATATTTAAATAGAAGGAAGTTAAGTTAGCATATAGATCGAGAAAAGTCTCCGCTTGCTGGTGATGTTTAAGCTTGTCTCTAAATAGATTTACTAATAAGGGCACTTGGGAGAGGCGCCTCAAATTGTGCTCTCAGTGGATCTTGAAATTCCAGGCTTGTGCCCCTGAAATGGCAGGAGGCCTACGAGGCTCTTGGGAGCAGAGAAGTGACAGAGCTTTTCCTATGTTTTAAAAAAGCAACCCTTCCTAGTTCCCTCTCTCAAACGCTTCTCTAGCATACGTGCAGAACGAAGGCAAAGGGAAAACCGAGAATTAGCACAGCCGAGCGCTCCAGCCATGGGGCTTCCTGCCCGTTTTCCCTGCCCCGGAGAGGAAAGGAGACAGCACCTTCAATGCGCCTTCACAGACAGCTGGGCTTCTGCACGGTCAGCCGGCAGCGGATGCCCCAGATCTCGGGGTGGTCCTTGGGGCCCACGGTAGGCCTGGCGATGGTGGTGAAGTAGGAACCGTTGATCTGGAGGTGAGGCAGGGCTTCCCTCAACAGCTGAAGGGTGTCGTCTGGCACAATTCCAAAAACCTGTAGTGTTTTTAGTGTGGGGATTTCTCCAAGGTCACTGGGAAGGAAGAGAGAGACGTTCAGAGCAGCGGTATCTATGGACACTTCCACTACAGCAGTGGTTCTCAACCTCTCTAACGCTGCGACCCTTTAATACAGTTCCTCCTGTTGTGGTGACCCCCAACCATAACATTTTCTCTTTTTTTAAAAATTAAAAAAAAAAAAGTATTTTATTGATTTTTTTTAGAGAGAGGGAGAGCCAGAAACATCGATCAGCTGCCTCCTGCACACCTTCTACTGGGGATGTGCCCGCAACCAAGGTACATGCCCTTGATCGGAATGGAACCCGGGACCTTTCAGTCTGCAGATGGATGCTCTATCTACTGAGCCAAACCGGTCAGGGCCATAAATTATGGCACTGTTAATTATGGTACTGTTATGAATCATAATGTAAATATCTGTTTTCCGATGGTCTTAGGCTCTACAGCAGCAGTTCTCAACCTGTGGAATTGATATTGACATTACAATTCGTGAACAGTAGCAAAATTACAGTTATGAAGTAGCAACGAAAATAATTTTATGACTGGGGGTCACCACAACATGAGGAACTGTATTAAAGGGCCGCGGCATTAGAAAGCTTGAGAACCACGGCTCTAGAATGACATGACCCACTTCCAACGTGTATCAGACCCTACAGAACGCACACTGAACACGTACTCTGCAGCCCCCACCATTTAGGGAAATAGAAAAACAAAGCCAACGGCAAGGCACAGGCCACAGTGTGGGGAACAGGCCGGTGCGTCGTGCTGAATTTCCAACCAGCAAAACACTCCACGTGGGCTTACTTAAACTCCACCGTGCCTGCCTCCTCTCTCCATTCTCCATTCTCCTGGAAGGTGCTGCTGTGGTGACCAGCCAGCAGCTGGCGATGGGAGGACTGATGTTTACTGTGGCACCAGCTGGAGGTCACCGGAGGCTACACACATGGGAAGGACGTGGACTTGACCTCAGGTTCCCCACCTCAATCAAAACATGTCAGCTGGTTTGACAACTTCTCAATACTGGTCAGCAGGCCACAGGCCCATTATACGTGATGGAACCTAAGTGCCTTCACCCAGAGGCTTCAGACAGGGGTAGGTAGTCGGGAACGGCAGAGAAGGGGGGAATCATGCCAGGAGAGGGGGCAATGGCCATCTTCCCTCCACGTATCACACATGTCACATCAGCTGATCCTCTCCGGTGAAATATAACTCAACATGACATTCTGGTTTAGAAAAAAGGGAGCTTATTTACCCAAAGTCAATACTTCGTGTTTTTGTTTTTGAATCCTCACCTGAGCATATTTTGCCATTGATTTTAGAGAGAGTGGAAAGGAGGGGGGGAGGAGAGAGAGAAACATCGATGTGAGAGAGAGAGAGACATCGTTCGGTTGCCTCTGATTAGTACCCTGACCAGGGCCCGGGAACACGCACCCAAGGTACTTGCCCTTGACTGGAATCGAACCCGGGACCCTTCAATCTGTGGGCCTACGCTCTATCCACTGAGCCAAACCGGCTAGGGACAAAGTAGGGATAATGATTTTCTCTCTAACCCAGACGTGTGTGCTGAGAACACCATCGCTCTGATCTGTGTTTGCCCGGATTGGGACACGGTACAGAGTCTCAGAGAGGGCATGTTTGATTTGGAGTTTCAACAAGCCCCACTGCCATCGATGGGCTCCTCAGTGACTGCTGTGCGAAGCAGCCTTCCCACTGCGTATCCCCCGCAGTTCCTGAAGACGCAGCTTCTCTGTGACAACGGCACCTCACCCGCCTCTGGTCTGCCTGCCTGGTCCGTCTCCCGGCGTCCAAGGCAACTCCCTCTGCGTATGTCATCCCCTGCTTGGCCCAGGCCCCCGTGCTCCCCTGGTGTCACTGGACCCACACTTCAGCTCCCCAGACCACCCCTGCCGACTGCTCACCCAGGCTTCCCTCTCTTATTTACACCCAACAAAGATCGTCAACACCAAAGCTTTGTAACAGATGTTAGCTCAACTCAACGTGAAGGGCAATTTAGAAAACGAAAGCACTGCTTAAATAAAATAAACACGCCTGGTGTTCATAAGGGATCTTATTCTGAGGGCGGTTAATCCTCACCTGAGGATATTTTTCCACTGATTGTTTTAGAGTGAAAGGGAGGGGGAGAGATGAGAGAGAAGCATCAATGTGAAAGAGACACATCAATTGGCTGTCTCCCACACACACCTGGAACCAGGACTGGGGATCTAGCCTGCAACCAAGGTACATGCCCTTGACTGGAATCGAACCTGGGACCCTTCAGTCCGCAGGCTGATGCTCTATCCAGGGCTCAGGCAACTCACTGTCACCAGGTGTGTTGAATAGAACAGTTCTGCCCTGGTTTTTCGGTTTTGCTGGTCTTTCCTAACCAGTTTGCAGTGCACCCATGTCAACGTTTAAGTTTTCAACACCGGCTACTAGTAACAACGGATTTAACACCCAGCGACATCCCTTCTGGTCCCTGCCTTCCGCCTTCTGGCTCTGAAGCACCAGCGCACTCACAGTAAAGTCTCAGGTATGATGTCGTAGCACCGGCTGAGCGACAGGTGTTGGAGGTAGTGGAGCTGGAAGAACTCGGGGAAGCACTCGTGGTTCAGCATGACGCTGTCACTGAAACGGAGAAGAGAGACTCAGCACCCCTCGGGCCACCCCGCAGGACACACAGGCCACGCTGAGCGCCCTCACTCAGCACGTTCAGACCCTTCCTCACTCAGGGAGCAGTCATGATTTCTCACGTCTTTTTTCTAAAATAAATAAATGAAGAAATACCTTAAGTCTAGGTGGACAAGATTGGGGCATCTTCTAAGTAAGGTGGAGAAATCTAGAAGAAGAAGAAAAAAATGACGGTTACTCTTAAGGAACGAGACAGGGACTCTGTTCCTATCACTGCCACGGTGCTGCCAGCCCAGAGCAATGGGCCGGAGTGGCAGACTGTTAGAAAGACAGGAGTATGGCCTTGGTACACAAGATGTTCCTGCCCTGGAAACCCCCACGAACCACCTGAAAACTGTTGGAAACAGCAAGAGAACTGCACAGAGTGGTTAGCAACAACCCAGAGCGCATCTACCAGCAGAAACGGGGGAAATGCCACTCCCACAGCGAAAGGCCAGCCAGACACCTCTCCGGACAGGCATGCTTGCAGGACGCAGCTCTGTGCACAGGAGGGCCCATGGTTAAAATGGAGCGGCCTCCCCATTCCTGAGTGACTGGTCCCGTGCACAGAGGCAGAACACACCGCTCATGGTTTGTGGTGGTGCCTGTTCTACAAACCCCCTGCTGCCCAGTACAACAGTAAAGCACCTGTCGTCATGTACAGACACAGCATGTGATGATGATAATGAACCACTCTTTCTGCCATTTTAGAGTGGGGTGGGGAACGTCTGGCCCTGCCCAGGCCCTGGGGGGGTGGGGGGGGGGTGGACGGGGACACACACACCGAAGACAGCAGGCTCATTTCTAAGCCGATCATTTGTACGGCCCGGGAGTGGTGGTACACATATCCACTGGCCCTCGCAGAGAAAAGGTTCCCCGCCTGTTTCTACTGTAAAGAGTTTGCAGTAGGTTTGAAAGTACAAAGGTTTCTACTTCCAGGCTCCGAATTCAAACCTTGCTGCCGGCTAGCTGTTTGCCTTCACCTGAGCGAGGGGAGCACCACGGGCCCGGGTGGAACAGGACAACGCAGGAGGGCAGCACCCGGAGGCCCGCCGGCTGCCCAGGCCGCGGCTCACCTGCCCGCTGGAGGTTCTTGCGGTAGCCGCTCAGGTTCAGCTGCGTCACCGTCGCTGACACGTGCGCCACCGCCACCTGCACGTGCTTCTCGGTGAAGTCAAAGCACCAGGACAGGTTCAGCTCGTCCAGCCTGGCAAGCGGGGAGAGAGGGCAGCATGAGACATCGCCCAGGAGCCAGTGCCCCAGGCAGCTCTGCCGCTGACTGCGGAGCAGAGGGCCACCGACCGCCCGGCCCATGCCCACGGCTCTGCCTCTCTAGGCAGTTACCCTAGCCCCCCTGAACCTGTCCACGCCCCCCCCCCTCCCCCCCCACCTGACACTCCCGGCTCCAGCTGGCCCCAGGGAATCTGAGCTGAGGCCTGAGTGAATGCTGCCCCCTTGTGGGGACGAAGGGGAGCACTCTCCTCCCTTCCTGAGGGCTCAAACCTCACTCCAGAGTGGAGAGGAGAAATTCCAGCCTGTTTCTTTCGCAACCACCAGACTATCAGCAAATGGCTACCCAGGCTTGAACAATCACCTGAGATGTCTAAACAACTGCTTCCCGACAAAGAGACCCTGATGCTGCGAAACACAGCTTCCTCTGCCGCGGCCTCCCCGAGCCACTGAGATGGTCACAGGCAATGGCCAGCCATTACAGCACGCCCCTCACTCCGGAGAAAACGAGGGCTTACGTTTTACCTCACTGATACCGTTCTTATCCAGCGGGAATCTACTTTCAGCAGATCGTTACGGAAACATTGGTACAGTGCGATGGTACATGCAGAGACCAGGGGATATCAGGAAGGACACACACACACACACACACACACACACACACACACGCGGTAGGGCCTGTGTACTCTGCACTCGGTAACACCTGTATCTCTGCAGCCTTTATGTACTGACTGACACAATATAGGAGATCAGAAGCTGTTCAGTGAGGGCTACAGACAGGAAAGGGGAAATAACCTGACTGTATAGTCAGGGGCAAGCAGACTGCTTCCCATCACTGAGGTAAGCACACGGCTATGTGTTGCTTTTGCAAATAGTAACAACAAAAGGGATCCGTCACCAGCGTCCTCTGCAAACTCACTGCACCTGGCTCCCGCATTCGGCGGGCAGAGGTGACTGCCTCACTCGAATCAAGCGCTGGAGGTGGGAACGGCTGGGAGGAGGATTTCCCAGCTCGGGTCCGGTGTGAGGCCACAGCCTGCACCGAGCCTCAGACGCGCCTACCTGGAGCAGCTGCTCAGCAGTGTCTCCAGGGCGGATTCGGAGAAGCCGGAGCACCCCGAGAGGTTCAGCCGCACCAGGTTTGAGTTCTGCGCAAGGTTACTGGGGGAGGGAAACGTCGGGAGGTTACCAACGGGCCCCCCTGGTCCATCAGGCCTGCGAGGGGGCGGGCCGGCGGGAGAGCGCTGACAGGCCCTGGGCCAGTGCAGGCGTCTCCAATACTCAGCTTACGAGTCACCTCCTGCAGGAAGGCGGCCCTGCCTCCACCAATTGGGTCTGGCTGTGGACAAACAGGCTGCGCTGTGATTCCCGCCTCTCCCAGACGTGGGCAGGGCCGTGCCCGCAGTCACCGTGCCTCCCACTGGGCGGGCACAATCTGCTGCCTGGGTGAGCCCGAAACCTGCGCTGGGCATCTCCTCCCGCATGGGCCAGGAAACAACTTTCCCACCTAAAACCCAAGCCGCTGACAGGCCGCGCGCCACTCACATGACAATGGGGTCCGAGAGCTGGAGGCGCTCCAGGCTGAGGTTCTGCAGCTTGGAGCACAGGGACAGCAGGGCCTGCAGGGTGGACACCTCGAAGACCGAGTTGGACAGGTCCATGTGCTGCACGCGGAAAGGGCTGGATGTGGGGGACGGAGAGGGGGAGAGAGAGAGAGAGAGAGGCTCTGTGAGGCGGCTCAGCCCACACCCTCCACCTCCGCTCGGTGAGCGCCCATCCCAGGCTGGACGCCTCTGCACATTTCAAGGATTCACTATAGTTTCTGCCGGAAGACAGACTGCTCCCAGCGAGTTCCCATCCTCCTTCATCTTAAAACTCAAGAGGGTTTTTGCCAGGCCAAACTGTAGCTGCCGATATGGTCCCCCTCAGAAATGAGCGTGTGGGCATGGTGACACGAGCTGGGTGTGGGTGACACGGATGTGATGTCGATGATGCTTCTGGGGGGCAGCGGCACTGACTCCCACAGGGAAGATGCCGGCAGAGCACGTTGTAAAGGGGCTGAGTGTGACGTGGGACAGGCCGATGGGGAGGTGTGTGGAGGAGCACAGGGGCTGAGTGTGACGTGGGACAGGCCGATGGGGAGGTGCGTGGAGGAACACAGGGGCTGAGTGTGACGTGGGACAGGCCGATGGGGAGGTGCGTGGAGGAGCACAGGGGCTGAGTGTGACGTGGGACAGGCCTATGGGGAGGAGCACGGGGGCTGAGTGTGACGTGGGACAGGCCGATGGGGAGGTGCGTGGAGGAACACAGGGGCTGAGTGTGACGTGGGACAGGCTGTGGGGAGGAGCACGGGGGCTGAGTGTGACGTGGACAGGCCGATGGGGAGGTGCGTGGAGGAGCACAGGGGCTGAGTGTGACGTGGGACAGGCCTATGGGGAGGAGCACGGGGGCTGAGTGTGACGTGGGACAGGCTGTGGGGAGGATGTGGAGGAGCACAGGGGCTGAGTGTGACGTGGGACAGGTTGTGGGGAGGATGTGGAGGAGCACAGGGGCTGAGTGTGACGTGGGACAGGCCGATGGGGAGGTGCGTGGAGGAGCACAGGGGCTGAGTGTGACGTGGGACAGGCCGATGGGGAGGTGCGTGGAGGAGCACAGGGGCTGAGTGTGACGTGGGACAGGCCGATGGGGAGGTGCGTGGAGGAGCACAGGGGCTGAGTGTGACGTGGGACAGGCTGTGGGGAGGAGCACAGAGGCTGAGTGTGACGTGGGACAGGCCAATGGGGAGGTGCGTGGAGGAGCACAGGGGCTGAGTGTGACGTGGGACAGGCTGTGGGGAGGAGCACAGGGGCTGAGTGTGACGTGGGACAGGCCGATGGGGAGGTGCGTGGAGGAGCATGGGGGCTGAGTGTGACGTGGGACAGGCCGATACTGAGGTGCATGGAGAGAATTCCGCGTGGCCGTTTCCAGGGCCTGGGAACGGGAGCTTGCTGGACAGGGAGGGCTGAGCAGATGGGGACTGGAGGTTTGGACAGTCTTTTGCATCTTTACCTGAAATGTTCCACTAGCGGTTGGTCCACAAAGGCGCGCGGGCAGCAGAAGGCCACCACCCCGCGGGACAGCAGCCGGCCAATCACCTCCGGGTGCAGGTTTTTCCCGGTGAGGTCCAGGCTCTGCCACAGGGACTCGTCGAACCTGGAAGGGGGCTCCCTCGGTCAGCTGCGGGCACTGGGTACCGCCGCCCCCAGCACCGCTGCCATCGAGGCCAGCGCCGAGGAAACCTGCTATTACCAGGGCCTTAGAGGCACCGCTGAGCTGGTCACACAGCCTGGGCCAGCCACCCGTTCCCGCTTCCACAGACTCCCAACAGGCTCAGTGCTGTCAGTAGCAATGCAAGGACCCCGACTCGGAGCACAGAATCCCAGCCTTCACTCCGTTTGATCACTTTAGAAGCAATGACCAAGTTGCTCAATTGATTACAGACAAGGTGAGTAGGTTCCAAGTGACCACAACAATCGCACTTGCCATTGCTGTTACCCAGAATCAGGTCACCACACTGTCAATCACTGAACGGAGGAAAGTGAGCACTACTCTGTGAGATATGAGATATGACTCTGACATCTACTAGGACAGCGGTCAGCAAACTCATCAGTCCACAGAGCCAAATGTCAACGGGACAATGACTGACATTTCTTTGGAGAGCCACATGTTTTAAACGCAAACTTTTTCTAAGGCCACTTCTTCAACATAGACCCGCCCAGGCCGTGGTATTTTGTGGAAGAGCCACACTCAAGGGGCCAGAGAGCCGCATGTGGCTCGCGAACCGCAGTGTGCCGACCACGGTCCTAAGAAAAGGAGTTATGGTTTGGCTGTTTTATAACGCATTTTAAGCTTCTGTAAACACAAAAGCACCCTGCGACCAGGCACTGCCAGAGGCATCGGTGTGTCTCCCTCCTCCCTGTCCTGTCCTAGAGGCGCCTCCTCCCACTCACAGCGACACAGACCGCCCTCCGTCACCCACGCTGCAGGGGCCGGGCCACTCACACCCGCCCACAGCCAGGGCCCGGCCTCTGGCCCCGAAGCGGGGCTCAGAAAGGGGTGCATTTTCCCCGCAGGGGCCCCTTCCACACGGGGAATAGACTCTGAGCACTCACAGAAACACCAGATGCTCTGCTTTGTGCTGCCCTGCTGTTCTCGTGTTCCTGTCACCAGGCCCAGTGAAGGCAGAGCCCTCCCCTCGCCCCCCGCGGCCCCCACCCCCCCGCCCCCGCTGGCCGGGCGGGCGGCACTTACGCCAGGTGGTACCACCTCCTGCACACGCAGGACACGTGCAGCAGCTCGGGGAGGCACAGGCTGGAGAAGATGGCCAGCAGCAGCTCGTCGGGCAGCGAGTCCCAGGAATACCCTGCGGGAGAAACGAGCTTCCGTCACATGTCACACGTCACACGTCACATGTCCATGCTGTGCCGCCGAGCGTATTCGCTGTAGCAGGCAGACGCCATGAGCAGGGCGGGGACGACGGGGCAGGCCCAGAGCCCATCGGGGCGGGAAGCCCAGCACGGCAGTCAATTGTAGGGGGGAACCAGGCCCCGAGTGACCTTCCCGTCCCTAGCGGATCGCTGGCCATGAGGTGTGGACCCCTGGCCCTTCCTCGCTGGGGTCACCCCAGGCCTCCGTAGAATCTCAGCTCCAGGCCCAGATAAGCACCAGAGCCAGGCGCTGCTGCTGCCGCCGTCGGGCCAGCTGCAGGAATAGCAGGGCCAGCAGGCAATCCGCGGGGACCACCGTCCCGAAAGGACACACCTGGGAGGTGTGGGCGGAAGGGCCACGTGCTGACTGACAGGCGAGGGGACGCCTGCATGGCCGTCTTGCAGACTCAGAGACCTCAAGGCACTACACTGGACGGTCTGAAATGAAACTTGAACGGAAAGCCTTTATGGTGGGCAGTCACCTCCTAGGCTGTTATCTTCACTGACAAGGTCAACCTTTACCTGAACGGAGCCTGTCTTTTTGCATCTATAATAACAGACCCTATGAAATGTCTGGGTAACTTGTAACTCTCCTTTTTCTGGACCCCCTGGGCGCCAGGGCAGATACCACAAATTCCTTCATTGCTATCATGTTCATTCTTCCTGCACCCACCCAAGTATGTGTCTATCCTTTTACCTTTTATCCAGTCCCAGGGGTTTCCCCTCTTTGCTTTCTCCAGCCTCTCCGGTCTATCACCAGTGGATTTCATGTAACCCACCTATGTCCCTCTCCTTTGATTTCAGTGTATAAATAGAGAAATGTAACCCCGCCATTCTCCGGACCATTATCTCAATTCGTTGAGGTTCTGCTTCCCGGCGCAGATCGACAGTCTGGCTTAAATAAACTCACAAAAATTCTTCACAGGTTTCAATGGTTTTATGTTAACAAAGAATACTGAATATTCTATTAAGATCTTTTCCAGGGACCTCCCCTAAAATCTCCACCCTTAAACCCCTTAGGATGGAGGATCCTGCGTGCCTCCCCCTTACCCCCATCTCTTCCTCTCCCCTCCCCTCCCCTCCCCGACACACACACACACAGATACACACACACAAACACACACACACACGGCAGATTACTATTACCTTCCTCACTCCCAAGCTCAAGGCCTTCCTCTACCCCCGGACCTCGCTTCCTAAGCCCATCTCTGTAGGAACCGCTTCTTCTCCCTCTGATTTACCAATGGATCCTCTCTCACAGCTGGGGTCTTGCTCTGAATTCTCTCCCGGCCGGAACCCAGGTTCCGAGGGTGCTGGGCCCAGGTTCGGTCTGACCCTGGTCAGACAGCTGGTGCCGTCCCGCCACCTACAACACGCTGACCTTTTTCTTACACTTACAGGACACACACCATCCGGCCTGAAACAGGAATGTAACGCTCATCACACTGTCCACTCTGCTGTTTCCGGTTCTCCCACAGGGCAGGTGCCCTGAGGTACGCACCGTATCTTCTTGGCAAAGAAAAGGGGAACCAAGAATGCTTTCCCAGCACCCGTCCTCCGGCCCCGCAGGCTCATCTTTACAGACTCAGCAAGTCCCCCGCCCTCTCAGACCCAGCCCCGCTGAGCAATCCCGACCCTCTAGTGCCTGAGGGGTCAGTGGAGGCTGATCAAGTAGCTGAGGAGACAGGAAGCTGGGAGTCAGGAATGGGGCCAAGGGCGGTGAGAAAATAGAGGCAGGAACGCAGTTAGGCAGCATTGCTAAGGAAAGCCGGAGGGGGAAGGCTGGAAATGTATGGACTGTTGCTAGGACAAGCAGCCTGCAGATGACCAATCACAGGGCAGAAAGGCGGAGACACCAATCCCAAGGACGTTGCTGAGGCAGAATGCTTTGAAAGGACCAATCCGGAGCTGGCAAGGCTGTATCCACCGCCTGGGTTAAAAAGGGGGCCACTCTGCCTCTTCCTGCTCCCCCGGCCCCCGGCCCCCGGCCCCCGGCCCCCGGCCCCTGGCCCCTGTCGCTGGGGAAGCTCCCGCCTGAGCCCACGTGGCTTGGACTCTGCACACGGACTAACAGACTTTACTAAGCTACACCGACGGCACCCTGGAAGGGAAGCTCTGGACACTCAGACCATTTCCGTCAATGAATGTTGCTTCCACTAAAAGCTGTTTTTCACCGAGACTTCATGCTTCGATTTATTATAAGACCACGAACTTGGATTCAAACCACCCCACCTTTTGGTTTCACGGTGACCTCACTGAAAAGGCAAATGCACCTCCACCCTATTCTCCCGGCTTCCACTTTGCCTAGCCTGGAACATCAATTGTGATGTTCTCATCCGTGAGTCAGCCAGCAGGCACTGACCAGGCCACGTTAGGTGCGGGGGGAGCAGTAAACAGGCAGACGGGATGCCTGCAGCCTGTGGGAAGAACAGATAACCACAGACACTCACCACACAGCCGACGGCAGGCCTTGTGATGCCGACACGCGCTCTGCAGAGGAATGAAGCAGGCAAAGGAGAGGTGGGGAGGACGGGGTACGTGTTCAAAGCAGAGATGCTGTTCCTGAGCAAGGAACAGCATCCCTGCTTTGGGGAACAGCAAGGAGCTCAGTGTGAAAACACGGGAGGGGGGAAGGCACACGATGAGGCCACGCTGGGCTTTCTTTCTATGCCATGAGGCGGCCTTCAGCTCTGGCTCTCACTGTGCTGAGCAGCCACTAGAGGGCGCTGAGCACAGGAGTGACACAATCTGATCTCGGGTCCTTTTTAAAAAACCCAACGCTGGCTGCTGTGTTCTGGGAAAACGAGGGAGAGGAAGGTAGATGCAGGAACCCCACTTTGCTTAGTCCCCTAACAAGCAGTGACCTCTTACACGCATGTACCGATCAGGGTCCTGGGACAGTGGCCCAGGAGGCAAGGCTGCACAGCAGACAGGCCAGGAGCCGTCAGCTCAGTAGCTGGCCTCCCCAGCCTCTTCCTGCCTCCATTGCTCCCCACCAATGCCAGAGCCCCCGCTTCTCTGTGACGCCAGCCGGCCTGGGTCTGGGGGTGTGGGCGTGTTGGCCAGGGGTTTCAGGATGACATTAACTCCTGGATCAGCAGGGACAGCAGGGTGCCCTGACTACGGGGCAGGCCGCAGCCAACGCAGGGCCTGATGAGAAGAGGTGCATGAAGGGAGACCTGGCTCTCTCCTGGGTGTATGTGTGTGTGGGGGGGTGGGGGGTGAGGGGCGTTCGGGATGGCACCCTCCTGCCTGCATACCCTGGCCTGGAACCCACACCCCGGGCTGTCCTGTTCTCACGCCTCAGGAATGCAGATCCTGGGCGGGACATTCCAGCCACCACTAAGCCTGGCTGTGTGAGCCAATTCCTTGTGAGCACCCTCCACGGCCTCCTCCTTGCTGGGTGTCTCCGGAGAACCCCACCAGCCAGCCCCTCCTCGTCCTCCCCGTTTGAAAGGTGCAGCGCCGAATGGACACGCACACGGATGGCACCGGGCGCCCAGGCTCCGGGAGGCCTGCGGTGGGAGGTGACGCTCAGGGCAGGCAGCGCTGCCTGCGGCGGCATTCCTGGGCAATCTCCTCCATCTTCCCCCCGCAGGCATGCCTTCCCTGGCTACAGCCCTCACGGTGCCCCCGTGTTTACCCTACAGTCTGCGCGGATCAGCATGACGTTCAAAGCGGTCCGGTGAGGGCCCAACACCCTTTTCATGCTCACGCTCTAGAAGCCGTTTAGAGTGCCTTGTAGTTTTCAGAAGGAGCTCTTTGTGCTACATCCCGGGGGGTCTGTACATGTTGTCCCCGCTTCCTGCCCCCACTGCTATTAATTTAAAACCCAGTCGCTATTCATCCAGCCCCCACGCCCATGGAAGACCTCAGGACGGCACCAACAGGCCACTTCTCACAACTGGTTATTGGCTTTCTCACCGGCCCGGTCCCTCGCTGGACCACAAGTTCCTGAGAACAAGAGCTATTTAAAAAAAAAAAACCCCACAAAAAACCTTTGTATTCCCAAGAACTAGCACAATGTCTGAACCATGCCTCCATTCACATACGTATGAACCACGTACTCTATGCTAGTATGTGGGGTCTGTTCTAGGGATAAAAAGATGAACGGCCTGCTCAGAGTCTGAGATGCAGACGAGGGAGGGGATTTCAATGCAGCATCATGACAGGCTGCAATGGGGGGGAGGTGGGGTTCAGGGTACCATGCAGTGTGTGTGTGGGGGTGGTGGAGGGGAGTGGTTAAGGGAGCTTCTGGAAGAATGAGCAGATGTGCAGGACAAAATGGAAGGCTCTGAATCCTCGGGGTGGGGGGTGAAGGCAGGCCATCAGTGCTGACCTTTGACCTAGACCCGCAGAGGCAGTTGGAGATTACCCTGAGGCTCCTCAGGATGGCAGTCACTGCCACAAAGTTCCTTCAAGGTCAGAGTGCACAGAGGTCAAAGGTTCCCAAGCCAGGCTCCTGCTCTGCTCCCCTGACTGGAGAAAAGCTGATGGACAGGTTTTCGTCAAGTTTTTCTCCCATTAATTCTGAACTCCCCTGACCTCCGGTATCTGGAGATCAGATTCTAGCATTTGACTTGGCAGGAAAATGACATCCTGAGTTCCTTCAAATCTAAGGCTGAGACTTTACTAGGATCTGCAAAGACTCTCCTGGCAACAGGTGCTTACCGCCCCCTGGCCACCCTCCAACCCCTATGGAGAGAGGAGGCTGGGCCCCGAACTCAGCTTTGAAGCTGCCGGCTGACTCCCTCTGGGCTCGGGCTCCTCGCCTGCAGGAACGGGGCGGGGGGGGGGGGGGGAAAGGGATGGAGGGGGAGGGATGATCTTGCCAAGTTGATGGGTAGGGATTACATAATATATGGGACAAGGTGGAGCGGCAGAGTCTACCTCTCCCCCCCGCCCCCTCTCTCACCTCCATTCCTGTCCTTTCCCC